GTTGGACTGGATGGCCCATGAGGTCTCTTCCAACTCTAGGATTCTATGATTCTATGATTTGTGGTGCTGATTCAGAAATTTATTTATTTATTTATTTATTTAACTATATTTGAATACTGTCCTTCTCAGCTCGCAGGCGACTCAGGGATAGACCACATCAGCTCTAGTTTCTGCTATAGAACATATACCATCCAGTAGTCACCATCTGCTCACCCAAGAAAACCATATTTAATAAGCTTCTTCACTATAAGATGGCTTTGTGAGATCAGTCGCTCTCGTTGCAATGGTGTAATAACAATTAGGCAGCGGACCATATTTTAGTTCTTGCGGGCCAGCTGTGGTCCACGGACCACAGGTTGGGAACCACCGCTCTATGTGGAGCTGCCTTTGAAAGGTGCTCAGAAACTTCAGTTGGTCCAGAGTGGCAGCTGGATTATTAACTAGAAGCTGGCTACAGGGCGCACACAACTCCCCTGTTGCAACAGCTCCATTGACTGTCAACTCTTTTCTGGGCACAATTTGGCTGGTTTTGACCTGCAAAGCCTTATACGGCTTGGATCCAGATTATTTGGAGGACCGTATCTCTTTATGAACTTATCAGAACACTACAATCCTCTGGAGAGAGCCTTCACTTTGTCCTACCACCGTATCTATCTCATAAGACCTTCTTATTGGCTGCTCCAACTTGGACCTCCTTGCCTAGAGAGGCCAGGTTGGCCCCATCTCTTCTCACCTTTCGTTAGTAGGTAAAATCATTTCTCTGCCTGCCATCAGGCTTTTTCTAAACTGACAAGTGTTGGACTTTTAATGGTGATGTGTTTGGGATTTGAAGATGGGGGTAAACATTTTAATATATTAATAGTTTTAATATTTAATAGTGTGTGTGTGTATATATATGTGTGTGTGTGTGTGTGTGTCTGTCTGTCTGTATTAGCATTATTTTATATTTATTGTTAGCCTCCTTGAGTCTCCTGTGTCAGGGTTGATGCAACCTTGTCATTACAACCCTGTGCACATGGCAACATTTTGTTGCAGATCCCACCACTATATTTGTGTTTAATGGTGTCCAGGAGGCCAGTTACAGGTAGCAGCAATCAAAACAGCAGGGTGTGTTGCAGGCTTTTGGACAGGTTGCTACTCTCTTGCTCCGCTTTGCAAAATGAGATCATTTTAAATCAGATTCATTGCTGCTCTGCTGCTAAAGTGAGAACAGCACCAATTTCCTAGGCCTATTTTTGTCCCAGGCCCCATCTACACTGGCATATAATGCAGTTTGAAACTGCATTACATAATAGTCAGTGCAGTTGAACTGCCTTGAACTACATTATATGATTCTATGTTAACCATACAATGTAGTTTCAAGTTGCATTTACTGGCAATGCAGATGGGACCCCAGTATACCCTTGCCCTTTACTTGCAGCAAGAATGGGAGAATAATACTTTGGAACTGTATATTAAAGAGCTTTGGAGAAAGAATTTTGCTTTCTTTTCAGAGTGTGTAATATTCTTTAGGTCCCTACCCCAACTGAAACATTTGCAATACAAAGGGAGAAAAGCCACTTGCTTAGCAGGCCTCAAGTTTGCCATGGAGATTGCAAAAATTACTTTTTTGGATGTCTGTTCTCAAAATCTATCCATACTGCAGGCCATACTGCAGATGGGGTTGGAGTAGAGAGAGAACATCCAAAAATGTGTATTTCCAAACTCTGGCTTAGCAGCACATTTCAATATTGAATACTAGTGCAGTTTTGCAACAAAATAAATGCAAATCTTTTAGTTCCTAAGAATTCCAAGCTGCAAAGGCCCAAAAAACATTCAAGTTTAGTTCATATCTCTGAGAATCCATGAAAAACAGGCAGGCAAGGGATTAAACAATGTTGTTGCAATCCTCTGAAAACTTACTTCTTGAAAGACAATTGGTTGAGTTTCATGACTTAGTACGGATTGCAATGAGATTCTTCCAAAGTGATTTCCTAAATCAGGGCGGGAATTGTGCAGGCCTCCATGTGGTGTGAGATAGCAACTCCCAGTATCTTTCACCATTGGCTATGCTGGCTAATACTGCTGAGAATTGTAGTCCACAAAGAGCGCCTCTATATTGTAAAATTAATGCAATTTGATATCACTTCAACAGCCATGCCTCAATGCTGTGGAATCCTGGGAGTTGTAGTTTGGTGAGGCACCAGCACTCTTTGGCAGGGAATGCTAAAGACCTTGTAAAACTACAGGATTCCATACCATTGAGCCATGCCAGTTAAAGTGGTGTCAAACTGCATTAATTCTACAGTGTAGATGCACCCTGTATCTGGACAGCCACATCATTCCCAGCCTGTTCTGAACACTGTACCAAAATGATTCGGAGTACGTATTTAATGGGTGAACTGTTTGATTTATAAATTACATTTTTGTAACTGCGTATTTCTCAAAATCTCAGCATTAGGGTTCTCTTTGAACATCTGAGAAAATGTAAAGCATTGACTGTCCCAAGAGTGAAGGAAATTATGCTTTTATCGTTTGATATTTAGTGTTTGATGTTTACTGAACTTGTATCCAGCATCGGTGTTTGTTTCTTTAGAATTGCAGTATTGATTTCTTGATGCAGGGGAATAGATATTGCAAATTGCTAAGATTTTGGGATTACTCGAACCCCTGGGGAAAGTCCTTTCTAGGAAAATCTAAATCCTCCATTGCAAACTTATGCTGTGCTTTGCTGAAGCTGAAGTCAGATAATTCAATGGTGTCTGGTTCTATCCTTCCTGGACAGAAATGTATCCACTATGGGTATGACAGTCTTATTCTAGTTTCGTGCATGAGAGGGAGGAGGAAACACTTTCTCAAAATGGCTTTCATAGGCATCAACTACACGGCCATATTATGAGGTTTGAAACTGCATTATATGGCAATGCACAATGCTACCAATCATCACATAATGAACTACCGTAGTACATTTTCTTATATACTTTTACAGTGCAAGCCTTTGCATGCCTTCTTAGAAGGATAATAAAGGACACATTGATAAAAAGGTGAAGGTCAAGGTTTCCCCTGACATTAAGTCTAGTCGTGTCCGACTCTGGGGGTTGGTGCTCATCTCCATTTCTAAGCCAAAGAGCCGGCATTATCCATAGGCACCTCCAAGGCCATGTGGCTGGCTTGACTGTATGGAGTGCCATTACCTTCCCGCTCAAGCGGTACCTATTGATCTACTCACATTTGCATGCTTTCGATCTGCTAGGTTGGCAGAAGCTGGGGATAAACACATTGAGCGATCTTACATCTCCTTCTGTCATTCCCCCCATAATGTTTGTTTGTCCCCATATTGCACCGCCTCCTGCCTGTATGATGGTCCGTCTCCACTACTCCGTTGTTCATGAGTTTCTCCCTTACAAATATATCTCTTTTATCTCTTTTATTTCTATCACATCCTGAGTTTTTATCATTGTACCTTGCACATGTGGCCCGATCATTGTGATTGTGTTTGATATTGCACCGTATTATTTTGCATTATTTATTGTATTTTATGCTCTATGTATTTTATTGTGATGTTTGTTTTATGCTTTTGTGTTATTTTGTTGTAATGCACTACTGGGCTTGGCCTTATGTAAGCCGCCCCAAGTCCCCTTTGGGGAGATGGTGGCGGGGTATAAATAAAGATGGTGATGATGATGATGATGATTATTATTATTTGAAACACAACAAGACGAGTCCACAGCAAACAAAGTCACTCTGCTGGCTGTTGTATTGGATCACACATCGGACACTTTCCAGGTGTCTAGGATTGTGTGATATATCGGCGAATAATGCGTGCAGATTCCAGTAAGGTGGCCTTCTGCAGCTGGCAGATGGTAATTTTGTCAGTGCCGATTGTTTTTAAGTGCAGGCCAAAGTCTTTAGGCACTGCACCCACGTGCCGATCACCACTGGGACCATCTTTACTGGCTTGTGCCAGAGTCTTTGCAGTTCGACCTTTAAATCCTCATATTGTGTCAGCTTTTCTTGTTGTTTCTCTGCAATCCTGCTGTCAACCGGGATTGCAACATCGACAATCCATACTTTGTTTTTTAACACGATTGTGAGGTCAGGAGTGTTGTGCTCCAGAACTCTGTCTGTCTGAATTCGGAAGTCCCAGAGGAGTTTGACATGTTCATTTTCTGTAACTTTTTCCGGCTTGTGATCCCACCAGTTCTTTGTCGCAGGCAGATGGTATTTGTGGCACAAGTTCCAATGAATCATCTGAGCAATAGTGTTATGCCTCTGCTTGTAGTCTGTCTGCACGATCTTCTTGCAGCAGCTGAGGATGTGATCTATTGTTTATTATTATTATTATTATTATTATTATTGATAGGTTTACCTTATTCGGGATTAAAACCTGTGTTGCCCAATGCACAAAATCAATGTACATTGTATTTACATACTGAGCAAAACGCGAATGGTGTACATTTAATTTAATTTATTTATTTAAGTCACTTTTATCCTGCCCATATCAGCCCGAAGGTGACTCAGGGCGGCGTACAAATCGGCAACAGTTAGATGCTACATATAAAAATACATACATCAGTTAAAAGCAAAAAAATCACACCACAATACATTTAAAAACCTTAAAATAAATAAACAATAAAAATTATAAAAACTATGTCTTCTTGTTCAAAACCTCAACCGTTCCATCGTCTTAGCCGTTCCTAGTTCATATTCCAATTTGAGTTTATCTGGTCATTCTGAAGTTCCAAACTCTTGCTCAAAAAGCCAGGTTTTCACTCTAGGATCACAGAATTATAGAGTTGGAAGAGACCACAAGGGCATGCAGTCCAACCCTTCCCATGCAGGAAAATGCAATCAAAGCAAACCAGAACTTTGTCCATTCTGGTTGTCTTTCTCTTGGACACCTTCCAGCTTCTCGTCCTTCTTGAATGGTGTGCTCAGAACTGAGCTAATGCTTGGTCCTCGTGAGACGAAACCTTAATTCTAAGCATTTCTTTCAATCTCTCCGCAGAGGAGTATGCAAGATGGGGTCCGTGTTTCGGAGCGAAGAGATGTGCCTCTCGCAGCTTTTTCTTCAAGTGGAGTCGGCCTATTGCTGTGTGGCAGAACTTGGAGAGCTGGGCCTGGTTCAGTTCAGAGATGTGAGTAGACCATTGGAAACATTTGGGTAGATCAGGATTTTAGGGCTGCCCTTTGAGTTTTACAAACATCCGTAAATATTGATTGAAAAGATATTCTGAAATGAAGATCTTCACGATGTCTAGTCACCACTCGCAGTAATAAGGAACAAATATGTTTAGAATTGTATCAGTATTTCCATTGCTTAATTTCTATATTGTTTTTGTTGTTCGTTGACTGCTGTTTAGTTGAATGCAAACGTAAACAGCTTCCAAAGGAAGTTTGTGAATGAAGTGAGAAGATGTGAATCCTTGGAAAGAATCCTTCGTAAGTAGATTTTATTTTATTTTCACAGAGCTGTGTTTAGGAAAGCCTACTGTGGAGTGGATTTCTATTTCAAAACACCCAACTTGAGGGATTGTGCTGTAAAAATTGTTGATATCCATTTTCCACCTTTTCTTTCTCACTTAAGGGGTCTCTAGAAATTGTGTCAACTAGAATAGAAGACTACGAGTGGTTCTATGGGAGGCTTTTGACATGCCATTGCTTTGTCTCAATTGCTAAATTCAGATGATGATGTGCCCCAGTTGTAGCCCTTCCTTGTTTTTCTGTTCCTTCTTCTGTTTTCTTACCACAGAAAACCTTTAAGAAAAGAAGAAAAAAAACAAGAATACCTGCAGAGTGATTATTAGTTGTGATTATTAGAGTCACTATTAGAAAAAAGACAACAGCTAAAGGGATAGAGTGCATTCTTTCAGATTCCATTCCTGACACCTGCAGCTAAAAATGACATCGGATGTCAGATGATGTAAACCTCAACCTGACACTATGGAGAATTGCTGACTATCATAATTGCTAGCACAGCTTCGGTAGCATCACTAGGGTTGGTGTCAGCAGGGTGATAAATCTTGGTGTCACTACCATAGATTAGTCCAAATCACAATATTGTAACTAAGTAAACAAAAAATTCGATTAGATTAGTGCATATAAAAACCAGCAGAAAAAGCAATGATGCATTCTTGCAACACATACAGAAAAAACCACTTGATTTGAAGCATAAATATAATTGGTAATATATTTTAAAAAAATATTTTTTATTGGTGTTTTCAAGTACAATGRTATAGGAGATCTCAGAAAAATTGGGGGATAGGGGAAAGGGGTGTGGGGGGTGTATAAGTTCCAAAAGAGGTAGGGGTGTGCACAACACTTAGAGCAAAAACAACAACAACAAAAACAGACTCCCCCCCCCACCCGCCCCCCCCCCCAACACAAAACAACATTTTTACTTCCATTCTTCTTCTTGGCGATGTTTTAAGTTTCAGTCTGTGTTTTCTCCCTTTACTCTGCTAGGAAGTTTATCTTTGATAACTTTATTTCCCCCTGTTTCCTAAAGCTTATTTTCTCTCTTACATCTATTACTTGACTTTAATAGTTCACTTGCATATTTAATTAGTTTCATTATATTCCTCGAGTGGTTTCCAGTCTGTTTGTTTCAGTGGTCTCCCCGATGACGCAGTGGGTTAAACCCCTGTGCCAGCAGGACTGAAGCCTGGAGGAATCTTTTTCACAAGTAAGAGGATACAGTACGTCTTGTCATCCGATAGTGGATGGACAGACCAATCCAAGATAAAGAGGGCTGCCTTACCTCCAGTATCATTTGCTGTTTATTACTTTAAATCAACTTCCACTTAAGGCAGCCCTATCAAGGAAAGACCTCCAAGTCACTCTACTGTTCCCCACATTACCAAGATTGTCACGTTTTCTAATGAATCTTCTGTTCTCACAATATGGCTCAAACGTGACAACCTCAGTTTAATCATTTTGGCCTCTTGGAAAAGTTCAGACATGAATTATTTTAGGACCCACTTGGGAAAATGAGATGGCCTGACTCTTCTGTTTGACTTGCTTACAGGCTTCTTAGAAATTGAGATGGGGGAAGACATACCATTTCAAAAGCCTGTGAAATACCCAGAGACTCCACTGCCACGAGAAATGATTGACTTAGAGGTAAGGGTACTTGTGATATGTTCTTCTCAATTATGGCCTGAAGAGAAGCACGAAGAACTGTTGCTTTCTTGCTAAACTTGTGGCTGTCTGGAGGCCTACTGTGTGGTGTGGACTGATCCCATATCTTAGGATGGCATTTCCTATCTAATACCCCCCAGATACAGTGGACTTCAACTCCTACATAAGGTACAGGGAGAATCAGGATGATGTGATTTCTGCTCTGGAGGTCATCAAGATGGAGAAGATGGCTTTAGAAAGCCACAAGCATTTCATTAGACCAACAGTCAAATGGAAACCCATTTTAAGCAATAAATCCACTTCTACCATGTCTTTCGGGCAATAATGTCTTTGTAAACAAGTTCATCTCATGAAGGATTGAGATGAGTTCATCCACTTCCTCTGTTCCTACTTCTCTGCCACATTGTGGTGTAGAAGTGAGAATGCTGAAATGAGATTTCAGAGATTCAGATTCAAGTTTTCAGAATATGATCTTATGCTGGTCACTCTTCCTCTCACCTTGACCTGCCTCACTAGCGTGTTATGAGGATAAAAGAGAGAACCTGGTTTGCAACACTGAGGTTACTGGTGGAAAGAACAAACCTGAGACCTGGGGAGAAGCCCTGGTGATGTTCCTAGGTGTTATGCATTAAGTTCCACCCACTGAGGTAATTCAGACATAAAAATGGACTTTGTTTGGAAATTAAGACAGAAATTCGACTAAAGGGGCTATTCCCAGATCACAGTTCTTTATTACTTTATCCTTACATTTGGCCCAGCCCAAATTGTTCAACTCTTTGTTTTTAACTTTTCATCTTACCTCATACCCAGTGTTTTATCCCTCTGTGTTATATTCTTTAATTGTCTGTATTTTATTTGAGGTACTAGCCGTCCCCTGCCACGCATTGCTGTGGCCCACATGGGGGTTCTGTGTGGGAGGTTTGGCCCAATTCTATATTTGGTGGGGTGCAGAATGTTCTGTGATTTTAGGTGAACTATAAATCCCAGCAACTACAAATCCCAAATGTCAAGATTCTATTTTGCCCAAACTCCACCAGTGTTCACATTTGGGCATTTTGAGTATTCGTGTCAAGTTTGGTCCAGATCCATCATTGTTTGAGTCCACAGTGCTCTCTGGATGTAGTGAACTACAACTCCAAAACCAAAGTACATTGCCCACCAAACCCTTCCAGTATTTTCTGTTGCTCATGGGGGTTCTGTGTGGGAAATCTGGCTCAATTCTATTGTTGGTGGGGTTCAGAATGCTCTTTGATGGTAGGTGAACTATAAGTCCCAGCAACTACAACTCCCAAATAACAAAATCAATTTTTTTGAGTGAAGAACATACTTTGAGTTGTTAAGTTTCTTGTGTCCAAATTTGGTGTCCATTCGCCCAGTGGTTTTTGAGTTTTGTTAATCCCACAAACGAACATTACATTTTTATTTATATAGATAATCTGATATATGTGTTTTATTTTGTTTATTGTATTTATCAGGCTTGGCCTCATGTTAGCCACCCTGAGTCCCAGAGGGGAGATGGTGGTGGGGCATAAATAAAGTAATAGATAAATAAATAAATAAAAAGAGGTCACTAAGAGTCGGAAACGACTGAACGACTGAACAATAACAACAACAATTATATGGCAGTGCAGAAGGAACCCCAGTTGCCACATCTGGAACTTCCCAGGAGAAGCAATTTGCCTTTTCTGTTTGGCCAGAAGTAGGATGATCGAGAAAGTCACAGAAACAGCTATATGTATCCCTGGTACCACTGTTTGCCATCTCCTGCCCTGTTGGATATGTTCATTATTTAAGCCTCCTAGAGTTAAGGAATAGAATTAAGAAATAGAGCAGCACCTTGTATCTTAGAGAAGCAATCATTACAAAAGTTGTTAGCAACTCATCGTTGTCATTCATCATTTCACTTACTGCAAACCGGAGATTTGTTGTGCTTTCTATTACTTATTTTGGTGTCTGTACATAATTTGTGCTGTTCATGAATCATTCATGCTCAGAAACAGATTTTTAATATTTGTGGCAAGATTGCCTAACCTGCCGAGAGACATATTTTGAAAGGTTTGCCACATAATAATCCATCTTTGTAGTAATCTGTTTTGTCAGCTGCAAGGCACGTGAAGGCATAATTGGATCTTCCTTTGTTTTTCTTTTTATTCTCTGCCGATAAACAGGGTGTTTTGGAGAAGCTGGAAGGGGAGCTGCAAGAAGCCAACCAAAACCTTCAGGCATTGAAGCAGAACTTTCTCGAACTCACTGAATTGAAGCATCTCCTGAAGAAAACCCAAGACTTCTTTGAGGTGATGTATAGTCAAAATAAAATAAAAGAGTTTGTGTGGGGTGGTCATTTGAGTGTTAGACTACACCTCTGGGGATAGGGTTTGAGTCTAGGCAACTCATTGTTGTCCTTCATCATTTCATTGTCATTTGAATTCTGCTTGCTAAGAAACTGGGTGGCCTTGGGGAAAGTCACAGTCTCTCAGCTTCAGAGGAAGGCAAAGGCAACCCCTCTCTGAACAATCTTGCCAAGGAAACACTTTGGGCCCTTCCACACAACACAAAAGAAATGGGAGATAATGGGTTAAAAGGGGAGGCAGCCAGATGACATTTGTACTACATGCATGCTCAATTGCGGCAACGGAGAGAAAACCCAATTCAAAAAGGTCCCCGTTTGTCCCGGTTCTGGACAAAAAAATTGGATTGTCCAATGACTGTGTGGCCCTGCAATCATGTAAAGTTTGGGATTTCCCTCTTTACCCCCTATGGAGACTGCTTCTCACCCCCGTGCTGGTTTTTAATACCCTGAAACCATTAATCAGTTGTTTTGGCTCCCACAGAGACACAGCTTTCAATAGAGGAGAAGTGGAGAGCCATTAGAAGTCTCTGAAAGTGTTTATTTTAATTTATTTTAATTTATTTACTTCATTTTTACCCCTCCTTCCTTACCCGTGGGGACTCAACCAACAATAAACAGTGAAACGTATCCCACAGTTCAAACATATAACAGTTAATCAATAAAACAAAACAGTATACAAATTAAACATATATAAAGTGCACAGTTCCACTCATCCAATAACCTTGCTCAAATCTTTGCTCAAATTCTTAATTAGTAACATATTCTTCGAACGCTTGTGTGCAAAGCCAAGTCTTTAGCCTTGGCTTTGCACACAAGCCAAGGCTAAAGCCAGAAGGGATGGGGCCTGCCTGATGTCACTACAGAGGGAGTTCCACTGCAGAGGAGCCACCACGGAGAAGGCCCTGTCTCTTGTCTACACCAGTCAGGCTTGCGAAGAATTTGAGAGCAGGCCCTCCCCAGATGATCTTAAAGTTTTAGTAGGTTTATAGGAGAAAATGTGTTCGGACAGGTAAGTTCTACCAGAACTGTTCAGGGTTTTATAGCCCAGGACCAGCACTTTAAATTAGGCTCGGTAGCATATTGGCAGCCAGTGAAGCTGACACAACAAAGGAGTTGTTTGCTCCCTGTATGCAGTTCCAGTTAGAAGTCTGACTGCTGCCCACTGGACTAGTTAAAGCTTCTGGGCCATCTTCAACTTTATAATATTAATTAACTATTGGGAAAGAGGGGAATCCGGTGGCATTTTTTTTAAATCCCACCATTATGTGTGAGAGAAGAAATCCTGGACTGGCAGATCTGTGTGGGGTCTTGGATTGGCTTATCCTGCATATTAATGCTGCATTTTGGCACTGTCTGGAAGCACCTTAAGTTGGAAATTTAGGAGTATCATTGTTTCTACAGTTGTAGATGCAGTCTGGCTCCAATAAACCAGTTAGAAGAAGAATAGAATATTGTCTAAAAGAAGTCGTTTCATATATTCATACCCGTTGCAATACAATAATGTATTGTCGAAGGCTTTCACGGTCAGAATCACTGGTATGTTGTAGGTTGGGCTATATGGCCATGTTCTAGAAGCATTCTCTCCTGACATTTCGCCTGCATCTATGGCAGGTAACCTGCCATAGATGCAAGTGAAACATCAGGAGAGAATGCTTCTAGAACATGGCCATATAGCCCGAAAAACCCACAACAACCCAGATTTCAGTATAGATGTGGCCTGAAACAACATAAATAAGAGTGGTTTGAGCAATACTGAGAAATGACTTTCAATGAAATTATTTTCAAGACACCACTGTTAGATTTATATCATTCCTGTTTTCAGACTGAAACTAATTTGCCTGATGATTTCTTCAATGAAGACACCTCTGGACTTTTGGAACTAAAAAGTACTCCAGCAGCAGCAGCTGCAAAACTGGGGTTAGTACTGTTTCTGTTGATTTATTTCCACAAAGACATTTTCCTCATTAGCTAGACTTACCATATCAAGAAAAATAAAAAAGAGGACACATTTATCAACCAAATACTTTAAACCTCTGATTGCTGTGACATCTCTCCGGCAACACTGGCAGGCAGAAGGTCAAGTGGCAACTGATATTTTACTGACATGACTCAATGCTACAGAATCCTAGTATTTGTATCTTGATGAGACACCAGCTTTGGCAAAGAAACCTAAAGATCTTGCAAAACTATGGCTCCCAGGATTCCATAACATTGAACCAAGACAGTTAACATGGTGTCAAACTGCATTACTTCTACCAAGTAGATGCACTCCTAGAGGCAGACAACCATTTTCCATCTCCAAGCACCTCATTGAAATCCCTGCTCTTTTTAAAATCGGAACTAACTGTCCTTTGGTTCTGTAGTATCTATAAGTCTTTACTTCTTTCTCTTTGTCCTGGGATTGTATCTCTGCTGCAGATTCCAATTAGTTCTACATTTACATTTAGAGGGCAAAGATGGACAGTTGAAATTGAAATTCTGTGCAGTAAAAATAGTTAAGGAAAACAGCACGAAGATATGTGCATCCATAAATGTGCTCAAATACATAAATGTGACACATAAGTGTAGCGTGACTTAGCCTCTCTAGTGCTTAACTACCCTGTTTCCCTGAAAATAAAACATCCCCTGAAAATAAGACCTAGGAGAGGTTTTGCTGAATTGCGAAATATAAGGTCTCCCCCAAAAGTAAGACCTATCAAAGTTTTTATTTGGAAGCATACTCCCCCTGGTGGCCAGAAGCTGCAATACTATCCCTGCTGTACACTTACTTAGGCGATCTCTCATTGTCCAAGTAAGATTGTCCTGGTAGTGGGTACGTAGATGACTGTGGAGCCCTATTCTTGATCCGCATGTTCTTCTGCAGTGACGGCATTGGTTTCCAAGTGGAAGGCGGTCCTGGTTGGGGTTGACTTGACACGCCTTCCTCTTGACACGTTTCTCTCTTTCACCCTCCATTCGTGCCTCTTCAAATTCTACAGCACTGCTGAACACAGCTGACCTCCAGCTGGAGCACTCAAGGGCCAGGGCTTCCCAGTTCTCAGTGTCTATGCCACAGTTTTTAAGGTTGGCTTTGAGCCCATCTTTAAATCTCTTTTCCTGCCCTCCAACATTCCATTTTCCGTTCTTGAGTTTGCAGTAGAGCAACTGCTTTGGGAGATGGTGATCAGGTATTCGGATAATGTGGCAGAGTTGATGGCGGAGGACTATCGCTTCAGTGCTGGTGATCTTTGCTTCTTCCAGCATGCTGACATTTGTCCACCTGTCTTCCCAAGAGATTTGCAGGATATTTTGGAGGCAATGCTGATGGAATAATTCCAGGAGTTGTATGTGATGTCTGTACACCATGTTTCGCAGGCATATAGCAGAGTTGGGAGGACAATAGCTTTATAAACAAGCACCTTGGTATCCCTACGGATGTCCCTCAAACACTCTGTGCTTCATTTGAAAAAATGCTGCACTTGCAGAGCTCTACTGTACAAGTCGTGCAGGAACCGCTGTGGGAGATCATTACAGTCTCCAGACAGTATGTGGGAGCCAGTACTTTACAGCCCTTCTTTTTTTGTGGCCCTGTGTGTGAGGGCCAGTATATTTATTATATACTGACAACTACTGTACAGTATATAATAAATTTTGAATTTTTTTTGTTCAACAATAACTGTGAATTCTTCTTCATGGAAAAATAAGACACCCCCTGAAAATAAGACCTAGTGTATCTTTGGTAGATAAAATTAATATAAGACACTGTCTTATTTTTGAGGAAACAAGGTAAATCAAAAGAATGTATGTGTCATGTATCCATTTTGTCTTGTGTCCCACAGATTCATAGCTGGAGTGATCAAGAGGGAAAGGATGGTGCCTTTTGAACGTTTGCTGTGGAGAGCTTGCCGGGGAAACATCTATCTGAGGTTCAGTGAAATGGACACTCCTCTAGAAGATCCTGTCACTGTAAGTGTAGAAGTCGTTTCCATATTGCCACCTCTCGCATCGTGTTCGGCATCCAGTGCAGCTCAATTGCTTATTATTTTTTAAAAAATTCTACTTATAGTGCATTTATTTTTTTTCTCTAGAAAGAAGAGATGAAAAAGAATGTGTTCATTATCTTCTACCAAGGGGAGCAGCTTAGGTTGAAAATCAAGAAGATCTGTGATGGGTAAAAATAAACTATTGCTGTTGTTCGTTTGATTTCATTTTGTATGTAACTGATGAGGCATTGAGGAATAAGTAAGACTCCTACGCAGGGTAAAGAGTCAGATTAACTGACCTTGTATCCTGAGGCACATCTGCCCAGTTCTTGTCTGTTGTTTGTAAGTTGGGCTTTGGACCTTGTTTTTGTGATTTACCAATTGTGATCTGTAGATAAGTTGGGCAAATTGTGACTGTTTACATTTTTTGAACAGAATAGTAAGGCTTTCTGGGAACTCTAGTTATATTTGGAGATAGATATGTCAACCATTGCTAGGCTATGTATAACAGTGGTTCCCAACCTTTTTTTTTTTGACCCGGGACCACTCTCCAACATTAGTACCAAACGGGTTACAAATCGATTTTTGGTCAACTTTAGATTCAGTTTGGTTATTTGGAGCGCTGATTCAGAAAATTGCATTGGATAGACTACATCAGCTCTAGTTTCTGATACAAAACATATGTCATCTAGTAGTCGCCATCTGCAAACCCACAGAAAACCATATTTAATAATCTAGAGCTGATGTGGTAGTAGTAATCTTTTGTGGGAAGTCAGCCTCCCCCTCCTGAAATCCCCATTGCCTTGACACTATAAGAGGGTTTCAAGGCAACGATGTAGTAATGGTGAGGCCGCAGACCATATTTTCATTCTTACAGAACGCTGGTGGTCCACAGGTTGGGAACCACTTATGTATATGTAGCTTTCTCTGTACACATAGGATTAGATCCAATTTATGTTGTACAATATATGCCCTCATACTCATTGAATCTGTACCTCAGCTATGTTTCTTTCAGCCGTATTGTTTTTATATTGCTTTCAATTGTGTTGTTATTTGTTTTATCTGATGTTTTAATTGGTTAAAGTGTTTTACATGTGTGTTTTAATGGTAATCTTGGGTGTGTCCCTTGTAAGCCACCCCGAGTCCCCTAGGGGAGATGGTTGGCGGGGTATAAAAATAAAGTTATTATTATATTATTATACCCTGATCTGACAAAGTAGCCGTCCCGAGTCCCCGTTGGGGAGATGGTGGCAGGGCGAGGTTTAAATAAAGTTTATTGTTATTATTATTATTATTATTATTATTTGTCTACGAATTTTCTAGGTCCTCCTTCTGTGATAGGCTCCTGTTGGAAGTTACCATAGAGTCACCATTGCCAACCTATGGTATCTTCTGGCAGAAGTTGTTAATTTAAAATAGGTTTGCTGATATCAACAGTTTCCTTTTTCCATTGTATGTTCAGGAACCTATCCCCTTGTAGACACAGGAATTGGACTGTATTAAGTTTCTATTGACATCAACTAATTTTTACTATTCCTGTAAATCCATCCCAGCAAGGATTTAAACCTCTGCACTAACATCTCTTATTTTCTGTTAGAAGCTTTGCGTTGTTTCAATTTCTGAAGTTGAAGTTCTATCTAATTAGTGATGTTTACAAAGAGCTCTCAATCCATATTTGTTTTTTATTCATTCACAGATCTTGGAAAAATTATTTTGGGGCACTGCAATTTCTAAAATTCCGAGAGGTGTAGGCCTCAAAGTTGTTTTTCTAAGTACCATTCAATTTGACATTAGGTTGATATTTCAGCATTTATATTTAGCTATTTATTTGCTGGGCCTCTGGTGGTGCAGCGGATTAAACCTCTGAGCTGCTGAACTTGCTGACCGAAAGGTCAGCAGGTCGAATCCAGGAAGTGAGATGAGCTCCCGCTGTTAGCCTCAGTATCTGCCAACCTAGCAGTTCAAAAACATGCAAATGTGAGTAGAACAATAGGTACCGCTTCTGTGGGAATGTAATGGTGCTTCATGCAGTCATGCTAGCCATATGACTTGGAGGTGTCTAGGGACAACACTGGCTCTTCGTCTTAGATATGGAGATGAGCACCACCACCCAGAGTAGGGCATGACTAGACTTAATGTCAGGTGAAACCTTTACCTTTTACTATTGACTTGCTAATAATTATAATCAATAATAATCAATAATCACACAAACGAGGCTTAGAATGGTTTTGTTTGTTTGTTTGTTTGTTTGTTTTGGTCCAGAGTTCTGCAAGTCTTCCATCTTGCCATGCTAAATGGGGATTTGGGGAGGTATGATCTACAAAGGCAATGTTTCCAAGCTTTTCATATACAAGTTTGTTTTAAAAGGAAGGTAGAGCAGAAAATGACAGCCCTGTCCAGGTCTTTCATTTGCAGATGCTGGGATGCTGCTGTGAACGCAGCAGCCGATTTATCAAACTGAAGGCTCCCCGGCGATTTCTCCTTGAGCTTTCTTAGATGTATGTGTCATTACGGTAAAACTGACACTGTGAGAAGATCAAAGCCACATTGCCGTGATAACGTGGAGGGAAAAGTGCAGTGTTTGTGGGTTGCAGCAAAGAGGAATAATCTGTCAGGCATGATTAGAAAGTCCAATTTAAAAATGTGTGTTAAGAGCTCTGCAGCATGTGAGCCTGAAGTAATGCTGAAAAGGGATTTTGAGGCTTGGCTTTTTAAGAAGGAATATTTTGTCGGAGATCCCATTTCGGAGTTGGAACTGCAGTGAAGATTATTATGGATTTGTAGCACTTTCTGCTTGAAATTGAAAAGGCAGTGTGCTGTGTGGACTCTCACCTTTCTCTTGTGTCCTTGTTCATGGATAAGCAAGGATTGCCTTACGATCAAGTTCTAGCTTTGCAAAGATTAGTCACTGCAGGCATGCAAGAAGCAATGCAATGTGTTTTGAGGTGGATATAGTGCAGTTACAGCAGGCTTGGACCGGTAGGCTGTTAGGAATTGTGGGGGTTGATGTCCAAAACATCTGGAGGGACGAAGTTTGCTCATGCCTGAGCTACAATATACTCACAACTAAAACATCTGGAGTTGTTTTTGTTACACAAGCCAACAAAATCAAACTTTTTCTAATCTTCAGAAATGAGGGTAAGCAAAGATAAAGGTTTCCCCTGGCATTAAGTCTAGTTGTGTCCAACTCTGGGACATGACTAAGGCAAAGAGCCAGCATTGTCCGTAGACACCTCCAAGGTCATGTTGCCAGCATGACTCCTTCCCGCTGAAGCCTTACCTATTGATCTACTCACATTTGTATGTTTCCAAATTGCTAGGCTGGCAGAAGCTGAGGCTATGAGAATAGTACAGTTTAAATTAAATTTTATGAGCCCTGAGCCCTGCCACATGCACCATGGAGGACCTCCTTGCGGCAACACCAGAGGCACTCCAAGTGGCCAGATACTGGTCAAAGGACATTTAACCAACTACCAAATTTGCAAAATCTGTGTGTTTTTTCTTTCTTTTTCTTTTTAATCTGTGTGTTTGTTTTGCTCTGTTAGAATTGTAATACAATGGTACGGTTGCTGATGACACGATAAATAAAATAAATTAAATTTTATGCTGATTTAAAATATGTCTTTATTTTTTCCCATCATGTCAACTTTTTAAAATATGACAAATGATAGATTACAGTGGACTACTGTAAAGTCTGCACATTTCACATCATATTCATGTAACACAAGCCAACAAGTATTTTTCATCAGATATAATTTTAGGTCATTCTTATAGAGTTTTGCACTGAATTCAGATCTGTGTTTATTTTTTATCTATCACTTTTAGTTTTTGAGATGAGGCTAATCAAATAATTAATGCATTTATGCACTGATATCAGTAGAATCTAATTAACTACAAGCCAACAAGTATTTTTCATCTGATATGATTTTAGGTCATTCAGATCTGTGTTTCAGATCTGTGTTTATTTTTCAGATCTGAATTCAGATCTGTGTTTATTTTTTCTCTATTACATGCAGTTTTTGCGATGAGGCTAATCAAACAATTAATGCATTTACACACTGTTGTCAATCAGACTTTATTTATTTATTTATTTATTTATGACATTTATATGCCACCCTTCTCACCCCGAAGGGGACTCAGAGCAGCTTACAAGGTATATATTACATACAATATATTATATTATGAGCATAGTAAAATATCAGCATTAAACATTGCTATATTGCACCATACCACTATATCGTAATATTATTAGTAATATTATATGTATTATAAATATATAATTATAATATCATATTATTATTATATTGCATTACATTATAATATTATAAATATATTATAAATATTATATGTATATACAATATATTATTATATTATGTTATATTATATTTTTTAGAATAGCACAGGAGACAAGGTGATTTTGATATCAGTGCATAGATGCATTAYTTATTCGATTAGCCTCATCACAAAAACTACACATCATAGAGAAAAAATAAACACAGATCTGAATTCAGTGCAAAACGATAAGAATGGCCTAAAATTATATCTAATGAAAAATACTTGTTGGCTTGTGTTATTTAKTGGTGGAGACAGATTATAACTACAGACTAATGAATTATTTGGAATTGATTTCTTTGCACAATAAATAACTAACRCTCTACTGAATTTTGTTATGATTATAATGCAAAAAGCTCTACTGCCCATCACTTTTTATGATCATGCTTCAAAGAGATGAGAGAAAGTTGCCCAAATGACAAATTGGCTGGAAGTTCTGCCCTGTCTAATTGACACATATATTTCGGTCCTGGTTTGAGTTCCAGAATAATATTGTCTTGAAGTATAACCAACGCTTGGGCACAGCAGTCTGCTCACTCTCTTTGGTCTTGTTTCTTTGCTAGTTTCCGGGCCACAGTGTACCCTTGCCCAGAGTCGGCAGGAGAGCGGCGAGAAATGGCTGCTGGTGTGAACACAAGGATTGAGGATCTGAACACTGTAGGTGACCTTTGGCTGTACTCTTATGATTTGGTGATAAGGTATAGCAGTTGTTACCTGCTGGACCCACACTGTCTTGACCAGAGCTCAGAAAACTCACTTTTAAGGTTTCATATTCTCAAAACCCAAAATAGCATGGCTCCCCATGGACAAAAACAAAGAAGAGAGAGAAACACCAAGGAACATCCAATGAAATATCAAGAAGAAACAATTGATTGGGCTGCTTTTGGTGTTGCAGTTTGGCAAATGTAACTAGGCCCTTTGCTCAAAGGGCCTAGTTCCATATAATGGCTTGCCATCCTCTAAATACCTCTTTTTACTTATCTCCAGTTCTGAATCAGAGATAATTATGGAGATGGTTGTAGGCCAGATGGAGGATTCCTGTAGACCAAACCTGCACAACTTATGGGCCTCCAGGTGTTTTGCACTTCAACTCCCAGAATTCCTGACTAATGGTAAGCTGACTGGGGCTCCTAGGAGTTGGAGTCCCAAACACCTGGAGGGCCACAGGTTGTGCAGGCCTTCTATACACTATATCTGACCCAGAGTTGGGAGATTCCCAGTCTGAACTTGGCCGTTAGAGGACTTTCTGTACATAATCTTCCATGGCAGGCAATCTTTTATAACAAGGGTTCTCAGACTTTGCTCTTCAAATGCATTACATTTCAGGTACCAGATTCCTGTTCTTTGACTATACTAACTGGGAGCACTTCCAGACAGCACAAGAATGTGGGGCAAAAAATACAGGGACCTGACAGCAAGTCCACACACAGACCTGTCAGTCTCTGGAAATGGCCTCGACCATCCTCACAGCTTCCTTTGAAGCAGATCAAGATGGAGGGTGGACAGGGTGAAAGTTTTTTATTATTATTATCTCTGAGGTGTGCTGGACTTCATATGCACACATGCAGAGATCCCAATGTAAACAGAAGCAAATTTCTTATTTCTCTCTTCACCAACTAATAATTCAAGTCCTGTTTAATATTATAAGAAAGAAAGGAATGGTTGCAGAGAGTTTTGCTTGCTTTCCAATTGTGCCTCCCTTTAGCCACCTGTGCATCTGTGGCTCCATATTTTAACAGCCCAATCAACTGTTAAAACAAGTGTGCTGGAGCAGTCCACATAGGGGGATGGGAAGGAAATCACGTGTTTTCCATGACTGCAGGGATATACAATCATGTAAAGGTGCACATTTTGAGGGCGGAATCAGGTTTTAAGAGCACCTTTTAAACACGTGCTTTTCAGTTGTTAACCCAACTCTGCCCTCACTGTCCCCAAATATTGTTTACCCCTCCCCCTTTATCTTGGTTACTTCTGGGTTTTACTTCATGTGTAGAAGGGCCCTGGGTCTTCTGGGAATTGAATTCCAATGAATCTGGAATACCCAAAGGTTTATCACCATTGTTTTGTCATATGGAGATATGTGGGGGACCAAAACATTACTAGCTTTGTCTAGGCTTGCATGGGTTTCCCAAAAAACAAAGTCAGACAGTTCACACCTGCTTATTGGTACTTTGTTTACAGGTGATCATCCAGACAGAGTCCCATCGCCAGGTACTGTTGCAGGAAGCGTCTACCAAGTTGTGGAGCTGGCAGATCAAAGTGAAGAAAATGAAAGCCATCTACCACATCCTGAACTCTTGCAACATTGATGTCACGCAGCAGTGTGTTATTGCTGAGATCTGGTTCCCTGTTCTAGACACAGGCAGGATAAAAAGAGCGCTGCATAAAGGAATGGTGAGATACTATACCTGGTTTATATTAATTTAGTGGGCTTTGGATGATTGACTCAGTAGGCCAGTGAGGAAACATGTGCTTTGCATGGGAAAGCATCCAGGTTTGGTCCTAAGAAGGGAACAACATGACTCTAAAACCCAAATGATCCAATCAAGGAAGAAAACTATATTGGGGAGGGAATCTGGTGCCTTAAGACAGTATGGTGTAAATTATAATCCAGCACATTGATATGGGGTAAATTGTGTGGCATAATGTAAAATAAACCACATGTAGTTCACGTTTGATCAGCCCACACACTGCCTTGCCAGAGAATGAAAATATGCCACGCAGATGAACAATTAATAACAAGTAGTTTACTCTTTGTAGTTCAGACAACATATGTACAATGTGATCAGTTGTATCAACTCACATGTCCTTTTATATTTAGTTTTGATTTAAAATGGTCTTTCTTTGTTCATGTAGATAAACTCCTTCAACAGCTCATGAAGCGAGAGCACACTCTAAACTCTGTCTCTCTCTGCTTCTCTCTCTGATTCTCTCCAAGCACCTGCATAGCTCTAGCCTGAACAAAAATGTAATGGTAACTAAAAGTCCCAGGCTCAGCCAGCTCCCCACACAAAGCCCGAACAATCAGCTTCATGCATCTTATTTTAAAGTTGACACACATACACACACTAGCTGATTTCTTGCATGCTCCAACAAGTTGGTGGTTGTGGTGGTATAGATCACTGCTTTTTAAATTTTGGGTCTCAGCCCCAAATTTTCTGTGACCCATATTTGGGTCACAGAAAATTTGGCAACAGTAAAAGGTTTCTGAATTAACACAAATCCAGGGTCCTGGGCCCAAAGGGTGTCCCCTTAGCTCAATGTTCAGGTCACAAAAAATTGGCAACACTTTCTGAATTAACACAAATCTACCACCAATTAGCACAAATCTGCTAGCAAAAACATGGAGTGTTCACCGTGGACTCCAGAAAATGCTTTCTGAGGTTGCCCAATGGGTTTCTATGATGAAGCGGGCACTTAAATGGTCTCTCGGAGTCCTTGCTCTACATTCAAACTACTACACCGTGCTGCCTTTTCCTAATCATTACCAAACCCAAATCCATCAATTTGGTGAGGTGTCCTCATTACCTTCTGAGGGTTTGCTTTCATCTAAAAGCAACTAGTTCTCATCTGTTTCTTCTCTTAGAAAGAGGCCATAATATATTAGGAAGCAGCAAAATATTTTGGAACAAAGATAGGATCAAAGTTGGGCCCAGATTACTGCTATCGAGAAATATTTCCTTCCAAAATCATTGGGCATATTTCATTCTGATATAGAATCAGCTTGACCAAGGAAGTACCTTGGGCAAGTTACATTCTCTAAACCCCAGAAAAACCCATAACAGGGTCACTTTGGGATCACCATTAAGTTGGAAACGACTTCAAGACACACAACAACAACAATCTAGTGCAAAAACTTTCAAGTTGAAAGCGGAGTTCACTTCTGGACAACAGCTTGCCAGCTTTTAAATACTCTTTTTCTCTTGTCTCCACTCTGGATAATTGCAAAAGCAGCTTGTAGGCCAGATGGGGATCTCTGTGGGCCATATCTGAGCATCGCCAGGAAATTCCCAATCTGAACTCTTTTGAATTAGGCCATTTTTGTATTTATTTATTTATAGATAATCATCTGTGGAAAAAAGTCTTCTTTTAAAGAGTGATTTTCAACCTTTACTCTTTGGGATGTTTTGAGCTTTAGCTCTCCAAGTCCCAGATTATAGGTCTCGTGGATTGGGGATTCTGAGAGCTGAAGTCTGAGGAATCTGGAGAGCCAAGAGATTATTAATACTGGATTATAATAAGTGGAGGGGATGAAAACAGTAACTGTCAGCTTGATAACAGCTAATTTTGGAAAGTGTATAAAAGATATGCATGACCCTCAGGGGGAAAGAAATTCTAAAAGTATATGGAGAATCAAATAAATAATCTGTAGGCTGCTGACAGCAGCTGTTTTCATTCTCTTCTTCTCTGACTTCCACTTTGTTTCAAAACACAGAATGCTGTATCATGTTTGGTGTCTTTTGAGCCTCATGTGTCCTGACTCCCATTTTTGCAGCCCCCAAGGAGACCTTTGAACCCCCTCCTCATTCTTTGGCCAATTTTTAATGGTAAATACCATGAAACCATGCAAAATAGTCCGAAAACTTCCCACAAGTCTTCCAACCCCCATTCCCAAAGAAACCAATCTGGAAACCAATTTTGGGGACAATCCATGTATGTGCCCTGCCAAGGTGCACAGATGCAAAACTTGACTCTAAACATAATGTCATTGCCGCCCAGCATATGGGTGTTGTTTTTAACAAGCACATAGTGTGTGTGTATGTATATTGTGTGTGTGTGTGTGTGTACATATATATATATATATAGAGAGAGAGAGAGAGAGAGAGGACCCTTGGTGGTGAAGCAGGCTAAGCGGGTTAAACCACTGAGCTGCTGAACTCACTGACCAAAAGGTTGGTGGTTCGAATCTGGGGAGCTGGGTGAGTTCCCACTGTTAGCCCCAGCTTCTGCCAACGTAGCAGTTCAAACGCATGAAAATGTGAGTAGATCAATAGGTACTGCCTTGGCGGGAAGGTAACAGTGCTCCATGCAGTCATCCTGGCCACATGACCTTGGAGGCATCCTTGGAAATGAGCACCACCCCGCAGAGTCGGACACAACTAAACTCAATGACAGGTGAAACCTCTATCTATCTATCTATCTATCTATCTATCTATCTATCTATCTATACACACACACACACATATACACACACACACATTTATTTATTTATTTGGAACATTTGTACTCTGTCCTATCTCGACCTCCAAGGAGGGACTCAGGATGGCTACCAACAGGCAACAATTTGATACCGAAAAAATATTATTTATTTATTTATTTATTTACAGCATTTATATACCGCTTTTCTCACCCCTAGGGGGACTCAAAGCGGTTATAAAACACATCATAAAATGTCATATCATAAAATATAATCAAATGCCTAAATATCATATCATAAAATATAATCAAATGTCTAAAAAATAAATATCAATATACATTAAAACAGTTCACCAGGTTAAAACGTCCAAATCCATCCAAATTGCGGTCTCATTAAAATCTCATCATTGCCAGTAAAATCAATTTAATCTGCAAACGATTGCTCCCACAACCAGGATTTACGTTTCTTCCTGAAGGTCAAGAGGGAAGGGGTAGATCTAACATCCTTAGGGAGGGAGTTCCACAGCTAAGGGGCTACCACGGAGAAGGCCCTGTCTCTCATCCCCACCAAACACAACTGCGATGGTGGTGGAACCAAGAGCACGGCCTCTCCAGATGATCTTAAGGTCCTTGATGGTTCATATATGTATACAGACACATACATATGCACACATACCTGACACTCTTTCATATATTGCGTGTATGAAACACAATATGCATAGCTATGGTTGAGGGCATAGAGTTGGCAGGGGAAGAAGTGACCTTAAAAATAGCAAGGATGATCCATGTAGCAATTTGTGTAAATACAAGAGATGGTCTAGCTACTCATTGTCCCCTCCTATGGTTTCATTCAAACATTTCATTCATGTTTTGACAGATTCTATGACAGCCAGACTGAAATAAACCTGATGTAGTTGGTAGCATGGAAAATTTATTTTTAAGTCATATGTATTTAGCAAATATTGCCACTGGACTGTTTTCCCAAACTCTGGATATGACCCAGTGAGTGTTATTCTCATTGCAGGAGCGAAGTGGATCCACAATCAACCCCATCCTGACTGCTATACAGACCAAGATGGCTCCTCCCACCTTTAACAGAACCAATAAATTCACAGTTGGCTTTCAGAGCATAGTCGATGCCTACGGAGTAGGGAATTACCGGGAAATGAATCCAGGTAGATCCATTCTATCACTTTTTTAAAATTCTGTGTTTGGAACAAAAATGCAGAAGTCACTTAGCTATTGATTATTCTTCTGCCAGTTTATACAAGGGCTGCTTGCCTGGCATACATAATATTTGGATCTTTATAGATGGAATGTTTTGTAGGAGGAAAACAAATTAGCAGTAGGATTTAGGATAAATTACTCCTTTTTTGTGTTGTTTTTGTAAGACAAGGGAAATGAACTAAACATGTAAACATTTCTCACTGTGGCTTCGGCTCAATTGCTAATCCCAGTTAGAATATGCATATGAATCAATAGGATTTAAATAAGTATCGATTTACCATTTAGTGGTTGATTAGTGTCTCGCTGTCCTGATTCGCCATGGACAGTCCCAGTTAATCCTTTGCTATCCCATTTTCTTGACTGCTTTAAAACGTCCCAATTTCTATTTATTTACTATATTTATATACCATCCCTCTCAGCCCGCAGGCAACTTGGGGCGGTTCACAGTCGGTACCAAGACCATAAAATACAATTAAAAACATTAAAACAATATAAAATCAATAACAAACATATATCATTAGCGTCTCCTTGCTGAAAACATTGGTCAATCTCATCGTCTAATCATTCCATTTTCCTATGTCAGTTATACTGTACTTGCAAACGCTTGCTCAAAAAGCCAAGTCTTGACTTTTCTCCAGAATGTTAAAAGGGATGGGGGCCAATCTGATGTCCTTATGGAGGGCGTTCCATAGCCGAGGGGCCACCACTGAGAAGGCCCTGTCTCTTGTCCCTGCCAGCCGTGCTTGTGACGAGGGCGGGATCGAGAGCAGGGCCTCCCCAGACGATCTTAAAGTCCTGGAAGATTAATAAGGGGAGATGCGTTCAGACAGATAAGTTGGGCCAGAACCGTTTAGGGCTTTATAGGCTAAAGCCAGCACTTTGAATTGTGCCCAGTAGCAAATTGTCAGCCAGTGGGACTGCCACTTGCCTAGTTTCCAACAGACCTCACAATCTCTAAAGATGCCTGTCATTGATGTGGGTGAAACATCAGGAGAGACTGCTTCTGGAACATGGCCATACAGCTTAGAAAACTCCCAGCAACCCAGTGAAAGCCTTCAACAACACGTAAAAAGGTTCTTGTTAAAATGCAGTTAAAAGTGAAGTCGTACTTTGGCCTCATAATGAGAAGACAATAAAGCTTAGAGAAGACAATGATGCTGGAGAAATGGAAGGAAAAAGGAAGAGGGGCCAACCAAGGGCAAGATGGATGGATGGTATCCTTGAAGTGACTGGTTTGACTCAGAAGGAGCTGGGAGTGGTGATGGGCAACAGGGAGCTCTGGCGTGGGTGGGCCCATTAGATCATGAAGAGTTGGAAGCGACTGAATGAATAAACAACAACAACATGATTAAAACTCTTTGAAATAGATCAATTAAAAGGCAAAAGGTAATGCGACACTGCCCAGCAAGCCAGTGCTTCTGCAGCCCAGCAAGCAGTATGTCTGCAAAGAGCATCTGCCAACTCTGTGTCACAGCGCTATCTGGCGGTGACAGTTTCAGTGAAACTAACTTTAAAATACACACATTTTATTTTATTTCCATGCTCATATCCATGCAGTCTGTATCCCAGTTACAGGAGAGGAAGAAGTTGATCAAATCCATGACACCCTCCCAATGTTAGTTAAACCCTGGGATTTTTTAAAAAGTTAAGAGCAACCTCATTAAAATGTGCCACTCTTCTCACCAAATTTGAGCATGGAGTGCAGACTGCTTTTTTTCAATGTATTGTCAAAGACTTTCACCTTTCGCTAGTATGGATACTAGCGAAAGGAGGAAATTTTGCTGTAACTGCTACCAGGATCCCAGTAGAAAACATCATTGCCAATGTCAAATCAGCAATTTATTGCCTCCCCAAGGAAGAAGCAGAAGAAGTGAGAGGGGAAACAGCAAGGATCCTGAAAAAGGCATCCCTCCAGTAACATAACAAGGAAGGAAAGACAAGCCATCAGAGACCTCAGCTCAGATCCTGATATCCTCATTCTCCCAGCAGACAAGGGGAATGCCACAGTAATCATGGATACAGAACAATACAAGGAGAAGATCAGGAAACTCCTGGATCCTACTATATACAGAAAAATTAAACAAGACCCAACTTCCAAAATAACCAGAAAAACCAACACTCTGATTAAGAACTCCTCAATCTACTTCGACATACGACAACAGCTATGTAAATCGGAAGTCCTTCCACCTAGGTTTTATGGACTCCCAAAAATCCATAAGGACTCCACCCCACTCAGACCCATCGTGAGTGCCAGTACTCAATATGCCCAAATGTGAACACTGGTGGAGTTTGGGGGAAATACACCTTGACATTTGGGAGTTGTAGTTGCTGGGATTTATAGTTCACCTACAATCAAAGAGCATTCTGAACCCCACCAATGAGAGAATTGGGCCAAACCTCCCACAAAGAATCCCCATGACCACCAGAGTGGACCACAGCAACTCGTGGCAGGGGACGGCTAGTAGATAAATAAATAAATAAAACCAATGTGATTGGGGGTCTTTGGGAATGTCCTGGATAATTTAAGCACCCTACAAAAATTGGCATTGTATGTAGCCTGTGTGCTGCAGTTTCCTCACCTCTGTCCTTTTTGTAGGTGTTCATTCTGAACCTTCCAAGATCTGAATTTCTCAGTCTCCGCTAGACATGCGGATGAAAGCGCAGAGTGAGCAAGGCAGCTTGCTTTTGTAGAGAGATTTCTTATGTTACAATCATTCAAATACTTTCAAGGCACTACTCTGACAAGTCTTTCTCCTCCCAACAGCCCCCTACACTATCATTACCTTTCCTTTTCTGTTTGCGGTCATGTTCGGCGATTGTGGCCACGGGGCTGTCATGTTGAGCTTTGCTCTCTGGATGATCCAAAATGAGAAGGCCCTTTTAGCACAGAAGGGCAGCAGCGAGGTGAGTGACCTCAAGTGGAATCGTATCCTTACAGCCTTTGAGATTCCTTCTAAGAAAAAAAGGCATTTCTTTCCTGACTAGTAGTAAAGGGAGAGAATACGGGCATGTTAGACATTGAAACAATTTAGGTCAAACTAGAAAAACACAGGAGTATCTATTCCTTTTTCCCTCATTTTTTCAACACGATTTCCTTGGAGATGCATACGTCAGGTTTTACTTACTTAGGCGATCCCTCGTAGCCCGAGGATGATGATTCTCCAAGTGCGGTGACTTGGCGATGGGTCCGTAGGTGGCACTGAAGCCCTATTATTAATTATTTTTTATTAATTTACTTACTTACTTACTTACGACATTTATATGCCACCCTTCTCACCCCAAAGGGGACTCAGAGCGGCTTACAAGTTATATATACATACAATATATTATATTATTAGCACAGTAAAGGTAGTCCTGACATTAAGTCCAGTCATGTCTGACTCTGGGGTGTGGTGCTCATCTCCATTTCTAAGCCGAAGAGCCAGCGTTGTCCGTAGACACCTCCAAGGTCATGTGGCCGGCATGACTGCATGGAGCGCCGTTACCTTCCCGCCGGAGCGGTACCTATTGATCTACTCACATTTGCATGTTTTCGAACTGCTAGGTTGGCAGAAGCTAGGGCTGACAGCGGAAGCTCATGCTGCTCCCCGGAATCGAACCTGCGACCTTTCGATCAACAAGCTCAGCAGCTCAGTGCTTTAACCCACTGCGCCACCGGGGGCTCCATTAGCATAGTATAATATCAGTATTATATATTACTATATTGTACTATATCATTATACTGTAATATTATTAGTAATATTACATGTAATATAAAATACATAATTATAATATCATATTATTAGTATTAGTGTTATACTGTATTACATTATACTATTATAAATATTATATATATATATACAATATATTATATTATATTATATTATTAGCATAGTACAATATCAGAATTATATATTACTATATTGTACTATACCATTATATTGTAATATTATTAGTAATGTTACATGTAATATAAAATATAGAATTGTAATATCATATTATTATTAGTAGTATATTGTATTACATTATACTATTATAAATATTATATGTATGTACATTATATTATATTATATTATTAGCATAGTATAATATCAGTATTATATATTACTATATTGTACTATATCATTATGTTGTAATATTATTAGTAATATTACATGTAATATAAAATACATAATTATAATATCATATTATTAGTATTATATTGTATTGCATTACACTAAATATTATATATATACAATATATTATATTATATTATATTATATTATTAGCATAGTACAAGAGACAAGGTGGAACTATTCTTGATCCGCATGTTCTCCCGCAGTGAGGACATCAGTTTCCAAGTGGAAGGCGGTCCCAGTCAGGGTTGGCTTGACATGCCTTCCTCTTGGCATGTTTCTCCCTTTAACCCCTTTGCTCGTGCCTCTTCAAATTCTGCAACACTGCTGGTCACAGCTGACCTCCAGTTAGAGCACTCAAGGGCCAGGGCTTCCCAGTTCTCTGTGTCTATGCCACAGTTTTAAAGGTTAGCTTTAAGTCCATCTTTATATCTCTTTTTCTATCCACCAAAATACCTCAGGTAGGAACCATGTAATAAGCAATCACGAGACATGCTCAGTGAAAGATACCATAGGTGAGAAAAACATAACCGATGACCAAAAAGTGTGCTAAATGCATTATCTTATTCCTGTTGGTCTCTGAGTGACCCCAATTGTTTTCCTTTGCAGATCTGGAACACCTTTTTCGGTGGCCGCTACCTGATCCTTCTCATGTCTATATTTTCCATCTACACGGGCTTCATTTACAATGATTGCTTCGCCAAATCTTTCAACATATTTGGATCTTCCTGGCATGTCCGCCCCATGTTTGACAAAGGAAACTGGACGTAAGTGGTCCAGTTGCACCAAGCCAGATGTTGCCACAAACCTGTAGATATGTTGTCTGCAACAGGTATCATCTTCATCCAGCCTTGTGGCTGCAGAATATGAGGACCATGTCTAAAAGATATGATATGTGCCTTAAATGGACACATAATGTAGAAAACAGCCCCAATTTTTAGTCACTTCTAACTTTTGTCTTTTATGGAACTTACTCCAAAGCCTGATTGTCCAAATACTTTCTATGTTTTGCTGTTACTCACAAACAACTGAAAATGGCCTGAATCCTATTCTAATCCCAAGTAGAACAGAGCCATTAACTCAGTTGTTGAACGACGAATCAGCACAAAGGCAAATCCTGTTACTTCACTGGGTTTAGTGTAAGACTTACAATACAGTTGAGGCCAGTGATGAAGAACAAAAGTGGGGAAACTCGTAATGAACAAAAAGAAAATGACTTAATTCAGAATGGGCTTGGGTTTGTTGGTTGGTGACTGGACTCTTGGAGTTATCTCATTTATATGGCCATTATAAATGAGGGTTGAATGAAAAGTAATGCCTCCACCTTCGTAACTCCTCAACAGATGGCATTACTGGTATGCGGCAGGTACTGGCTTGTTCAGTAGACTCTCCTCTACAGTTCCATTTTGTCAGCAGGTACTGGTTTGTTCAGTAGACTCTCCTCTACAGTTCCATTTTGTCAGCAGGTCCTGGTTTGTTCAGTGGACTCTCCTCTACAGTTCACTTAGCATTGAACYGTTGTGTTGTTAAAGTGCGAAGCATGGAACCCTGTGCAGACGGTCASTCAGTGRGACTTAAGCAACATGCAGTCATTGAATTCTTGACKGGAAAAGGTGTTACCCCAAAAGAGATTCATTAGAGAATGCAAGCTGTTTATGGCAATTGTGTTGATGTGAGTACTGTGCGTTGTTGGGCGAGTAAGTTGAGGTGGGAACATTTGACTTGCATGACAAACAAAGAGTTGGACGTCCTGTGACAGCAACCACCYAGTTTCACAAGCAAAAGATTGACAGATTGATTCAGGATTCACTCAGAGAGAAATTTCAAGRATAATCAGCATTTCACAAGAACGTGTGGGTCACACAATTGCTTTGCTTGGTTATCAAAAGATCTGTACACAATGGGTACCCAGGATGAGAGAACTGTGAGAAGCTGGTTGCAGAAATAGAGTGTCGACTTCTTCCATGACGGCTTCAGAAAACTTGTTCACTGTTGGCAGAAATGTATCCAATTGTCTGGTGATTATGTGGAAAAGTGAATAGTGGTAATTAAAGAGCACATTCTAAGGATTGTTTCTGTGTTTGATTTATTAAAATATTCCCATTCAAACCCAAGTAACGAAGGCGGAGGCATTACTTTTCATTCAACCCTTGTAAATTGAAGCTTCATTGACAGCAAGAAAATGTTCTCATCATTTAATCTCAGCTCATTCCCAAGATCTGACTTATCAGGACTGTTATTATGTTGATAGAGTATAAGCTGAGTTTTTCAGCCCTTTTTTTATATATATTCGAGTGAGGGTCCTGGTGGGAAGGCGTGGGGCTGAAAGAAGCCTTCCCTCCAGGACCCTCACTTCTCCACACAGCAACCCAATTGGGTCACTGTGCTGAGAGAGGAGGAGAAAAAGGCTGTGTGGAGAGGTCTCTCTCTCCTCTTGTGGAGCCACCTTTTCTGGGGTCCTGATCCCCAAGAAAGAATAAAGGAAGGAACGAAGAGAGGAATGAAGTCAAGACAGAGAGGGAGGGAGGAAAAAAAGCAAGGGAGGGAGGCCTGAAGAGAGAGGGGCAGTGGGAATTTGGACAGGGGCCACATTTGGTCCCTGGGCCAGAATTTTGACATGCCTGTCTTAGCTGAACCAGACTCCCTTTGCTCAATGCAGATACTAGTAAGGGGGTGGGACATTTACAATCATGGTAATAGTGACACACTGATAATTATGGAGCAATCCTAAATGCAAAGCTGTAATTGCAATATAGGATGCTAACCTGGGAACACATCTACTTTATTATCTGAGTATACTTGTATTAAGGGCCCCCCTGGTGGTGCAGCGGGCTAAACCGCTGAGCTGTTGAACTTGTGGACCAAAAGGTTGGTGGTTCAAATCAGGGGAGCGGGGTGAGCTCCTGCTGTTAGCCTCAGCTTCTGCCAACCTAGCAGTTTGAAAACATGCAAATGTGAGTAGATCAATAGGTACTGCTTTTGCAGGAAGGTAGCGGCACTCCATGCAGTGATGCTGGCCACATGACCTTGGAGGCGTCTACGGACAACGCCAGCTCTTCAGCTTAGAGATGGAGATGAGCACCACCCCCCAGAGTCAGACACGACTAGATTTAATGTCAGGGGAAACCTTTGCCTTTACCTTACTTGTATTAATGTATAGGTAAAAGGACATATTATACTGCAAGTGACCTGAGTTTTCTACTGCGAGGCTGTGCAAAGCTATAGGTTTGGGGTTAAATGTTGTTGTGTTCATTGGTTTTTAATTATCAAGCAGCGATAAATGAGGGTGTGTTTGAGCATCTAACCTTTCTCCCTTTTTCCATAGAGACAGTATGATGCATGATGATGGCACATATCAGCTGGACCCCAAAATCGTAGGAGTGTACTCTGGAAATCCCTATCCTTTTGGAATAGATCCGGTAATTTTTTAAAAAAATTCACCCTTTCCTCCCCAATAGCCAAGGAAAATTGCTCTCACTATCAGATGGAACTGAGGGAAATAAAAAATATACGTCATGCACTTGACATGCTGCTTTACTTAGCAATCGTTTTTGCCGAAATACTTGTAACTGCAACAGCACACATTTCTGCTACATTGTTTAGAAAGTTCAAGAAAAATTATCTGAAAATTTAAAGTGCTAATTTCAGCTTGCTTAAAGACCTCTCCAGTCATAGTTATTAAATATTTAAATCTTTCCTGAAAGAAAGATGAACCCTTAATGCAACTTTAAAACTGTAGACATTTCCTGGGGCTGTATCCTTTTGTTCTGTTTCCAATTAATTTTTCAAAGCAATGACTTAAAAATTGTCCTTTTCACCCTAAATAATATTTTCGAAGTTTTTTAAAAACCAATAATATTTTCACCCTATATCCCTGTTGCCTTCCACCCAAAATTCATTTTCTGATGTGCAAAAGAACTCAACGATTAGAACTGGCCACTAGATGGCAGCATTGATTGCAAACCTTTCCCCAAGTTGGAGGGCCTTGCAAGAGATGGGGAATTGTTGTGATCCTGTATTCAGAAGGTATCAGATCCCATTTGCCTTGAAAGCTAAGCAGGCTCTGGTTAAAATTTAGATGGGAGAATACAAATGAATGTCAAGTGCTATTTCAGAGGAAGGAGTCGACAAAACTGCCACTGAATATTCCTTGCCTAAGAAAATGCTATGGAAATAATAATAATAATAATAACAACACTAAAGAAGGAGACAGAAGGCCTGATTCTTGCAGCCCAGAAGCAAGCCATCAGAACAAATGCAATTAAGGCCAGGATTGAAAAATCAGCTGATGACACAAAATGCAGACTGTGCAAGGAAGCTGACAAAACTATGGACCATACCCTCAGTTGTTGCAAGAAAATCGCAAAGACGGATTACAAACAAAGGCACAATTCTGCGGCCCAAAGGATTCACTGGAACTTATGTCACAAGTACCACATGCCAGCAGTAAAGAATTGTAGGATCATAAACTTGCAAAGGTCGTGGAAAATGAACATGCAAAAATACCGTCAGACTTTTGAATCCAGACTGACAAAGTTTTGGAACACATTACACCAGACATCACAATTGGGGAAAAGAAAAAAGTCTGGATTATTGATGTCGCCATACTGAGTGACAGCCACATTGAAGGAAACAACAGGAAAAGTTCAGCCGTCATTTGGAAATACATAACACAGTCTTAGACACTTGGAAAGTATTCAACTTGTGATTTTTTAATACAAAATCTAGCATATAGATCTCATTTTCTGTGACATACTGTGTCAGAATAATAATAACAACAACAACAACAATAATGGAGACCGGAGGCCTGATTCTTGCAGCCCAAGCAATTAGAACAAATGCCATCAAAGCCAGAATTGAAAAGTTGCTCAGATGATCCATTGGAACTTGTGCCACAAATACCATCTGCCTGTGACAAATAACTGGTAGGATCACAAGCCTGGAAAATGTTACAGAAAATGAACACGACAAAGTACTGTGGGACTTCCGAATTCAGACTGATAGAGTTTCGGAGCACAATACTCCTGATCTCACGATCGTGTTTAAACGCAAAGTATGGATCGGTGAAGTTGCAATCTCAGGCGACAGCAGGATTGAAGAGAAACAACTAGAAAAGCTCACATGATACAAGGATTTAAAGATCAAACTGTAAAGACTCTAGCACAAGCCAGTAAAGGTGGTCCCAGTGGTGATCGGCACACTGGGTACAGTACCTAAAGACGTTGGCCTGCACTTAAAAACAATGGAAGCTGACAAAATTACATCTGTCAGCTGCAAAAGGCCACCCTACTGGGATCTGCATGCATTATTCGCCAATGCATCACACAATCCTAGACACTTGAAAGTGTCCGATGTGTGATCAAATACAAAAGCCAGGATAGTGATCTTGTTTGGTGTGTACTAATCTTGTTATGTATCAAATAACAATAACAACAACAACAAAAATAATAAATTAATAGGGTTAAACCCCTGTGCTGGCAGGACTGAAGACCGACAGTTCGCAGGTTCGAGAGGCGGATGAGCTCCCTCTATCAGCTCCAGTTCCTCATGCGGGGACATGAGAGAAGCCTCCCACAAGGATGATAAAAACATTAATTCATCCGGGCGGCCCCTGGGCAACATCCTTGCAGACGGCCAATTCTCTCACACCAGAAATGACTTGCAGTTTCTCAGGTCGCTCCTGACATGACAAAACAACAACAACAACAACAAAATAATAATAATTACTTTATTCTTATATCCCACCACCAACTCCCTGAAGGGACTCAGGGCAGCTTAGAGATGGCACAAAGTGCCGAAAAACAAACATAAAAGTGAACACAATACAAAATACAGAGTTACTGTAAATTAACCGGTAATTTGAAGGCACATATTCACATACATGATTATTTCATTAATGTTTTATGCTTGGCAAGATTTATTCAGAGGGGGGTTGCCTTTGCCTTCTTCTGAGGCAGAGAGACTTGACCAAAGTCACCCCGTGCATTTCCATAATTAAGCAGGGATTCAAACCCTGGTCTCCAGAGTCCTAGCCCAGCACTCACCACTACACCATACTTGTCCTCTGTGTTTGGTTACAGATATCTATTTTACTCAGGTCATTGCCTTTTGTTTTGGTAGTCCTTTTAAAAACTTCCTTTCCCCTGATAAGATGGGTGGCATTTCTTTTAAATTGTGTAGGGCAATGCTCCCTTGATATGACATTATTAAAGGTCCTCACTTTCTATTGCATGTTTCCATGTTCACTCATCTTTTCACCTGTTTCTTCAAGGTCTGGAACATTGCAACCAACAAGCTGACATTCTTGAATTCCTACAAGATGAAGATGTCTGTCATCATGGGGATCTCACACATGATCTTTGGAGTGGTGCTCAGTATCTTCAACCACATGTAAGTATTAGGGTCTAATTTATGGACTTTAAGGAGAAGTCTTCCTTTATATGTTGCTCTCTTTCACCTCTGTATCTTGCATGTTGTGACTCGTCAGCGGAAGGTATACACAGCCTTCTTTTGCAAGTCCGGTTGGTGAGGCATGGATCTTAGAGAAATCCCATTTCTGGAGAGGAAAAATACTAATTGCTTAGAATGTGAAATCCCTCTAACATCTAGTTTGATCCTATGCATCAGTGTTGCTTGTGGTGGTGTAGTGAAATGAATTATTTGTGTATCCATTCTGTTTCATGCCCTTGCTCTTGCCTTGAGGATCTGCAGGCATTTGGGATTTCAATTCCCAGAAACCCCAGCAAGTTTGATTAACAGTCAAGTATTGTGGGAGTTGGGGTCCCAAGCATCTGGAGGACCAGAAGTTAGGAACCAGGGGGCTAGAGCACGGCTTCTTAAATTGTGGGTCCCAATCCCAAATGGGGTTCTGATCCCAAATGGGGTCTTGATCCCAAATGGGGTTACGATGCCAAGTGGGGCCCCTTTAGCTCAGTTGGGGTCAAAAATGTGTGTAGCATGCCACTTAGTGGCTGTTTTAGAAATTTACATGAATCTGTTAGCAACAATAGGCAGTGTTTATAATAGTAGACTCTTCAGAAAATGCTTCACCTGTACTTCATAAAAAGGAAAATCAGCCTTTTTAGAAAGCCTTACAAATGCTGATTTATTTTCAGTAAATGTTTGATTTTTTTCAATAACTATTTTATATACCCATATGCCTGGGATTGTGTAAAAAAAAATTAAGTTGAAAGCGATCATAAGTAGAAAAAGTTTCACAAGGGTGTAGAGGTCACTGAACACATCATTTTGGAAAATGAAAAACATCCTTTTTAGAACAAGTTGTATTGCTTCACTCCTTCCCCAACTAACTCGTTCCCTTTTCCTGTCTCTATACAACTTCCTCTTAACAATAGATTTTCCTGATATTGTTTACAATACAATGCCTCTCTGAAATGATTCTGTGTTTTGCTTTGCCTTTTCCTGTTCTAGCTTCTGATAAGATTGGATGAACTCCCCTGTTTTTAATCTGAATGATGAGTTTGAAATCACTAAATTATTTAACATCTTCCAAATGCTTCCAATTTCTTCTTACTTGTTTGCAGCTGCCTCCTCTCATTTCTTTTGGAAGCTCATCTTTCCTGTTCCATAAAGCATTACATTCAGAAGTAACCCTGTAGTCCATCGGCTTTTAAGGGAGACACTAGATTTAAATGCCTTACCAACAGGAAGCTGTTGGTACAAAGCAGGGGTCCCCAAACTAAGACCCAAAGGCCAGATGTGGCTCTCCAAGGTCATATTTTTGCACTGTAAATAAGATATATGCAGTGTGCATAGGAATTTGTTCATGCTTTTTTCAAACAATGGTCTGGCCACCCAACAGTCTAAGGGGCTGTGAACTGGCCCTTGAATTGAAATGTTTGAGGACTCCAGGTACAAAGCTTTCCAGAAACTGTGCTTTTGTTGTCCCCTTCATGTTGTTGCCGGCTTATGGCAACACTAAGGCAAAGCCATCAAAGGCTTTCTTAGCTAGATTTGTTCAGCCTTCTTCTATGGCTGAGATAGTGTGATTTTTCCCAAGGTCATCAGGTGAGTTTCGATGGCTCAACTACAATATAAATACTAGTCTGCAGAACTGTAGTTCAGTGCTCAAAGTACTACCTCATGTTGACTCTTTCCAAAGACTCCCAATGCCACCCTGAGTCCCTTCGGGGGGCGGGGAGGGGGGGGGGAGAGAGAGAGTGGGTTAAAAATAAATAATTATTATTATTTGAAACACAAATGATGAGTCCATAGCAAACAAGAATACTCTTCTAGCTGTTGTATTGGATCACACATCGGACACTTCCCAAGTGTCAAGGACTGTGTGATGTATCGGCATGCAGATCTGAGTAGGGTGGCCTTTTGCAGCTGACAGATGGTAATTTTGTCAGCTTCTATTGTTTTTAAGTGCAGGCCAAGGTCTTTAGGTACTGCACCCAGTGTGCCGATCACTACTGGGACCAACTTTACTGACTTGTGCCAGAGTCTTTGCAGTTCGATCTTTAAATCCTATTATTATTATTATTAAAATCATTTTCTGGCAGTTTTTGTTTTCAAAACACTGCCAGGAAGTGATGGGAAATCATTTGCTGTGGTGTGTGGCCTGTTCAAAGGAGTTGGTGTAGAAGAAATTGCCCTTTGGTCTCCACTGTTGTCCATCCATTACATTGTCCTAAGTGTTACAATAGGGTGATTTTTCGCCAGCATTAATTAATCTGATCATCAGACAAAAATAAGCCAGGAAGTCATTCAATATCCTCAATTTTTCCCCTTTTTTCCTATATCATCTCTTAACCAAAGCTAGTGTATCGGTAGCCCTCCAGATCCAGTTGCAATAGAAACCTTGTCATCCCTGACCATTGATTATACAAGCTCAGGGTTGATGGGGGATAACACCAACCACATCTGTAACACCACAGGTTTACTGGGCCTGCTATAACTTGTTTGCTTCTTCATGACCACATTTGGACACTACTGATTCTGTTCTTTCTTTTGGCTTATTCCATTCCAGTTATTTCAGGAAAACCATCAACATCATCTTGCAGTTCATCCCAGAGATGATCTTCATGCTTTCCCTGTTTGGTTACCTTGTTTTCATGATTATTTTCAAGTGGTGCCACTATGATGTCCATGCTGCTGGATATGCTCCAAGCATCCTCATCCATTTTATCAACATGTTTCTGTTTAGTTATGGTGATCCGACAAACGTTCCCCTCTATGAGCACCAGGTATGGACTCTTTGTCTTCTCCTACGAATCCTGGTATTTACCTGACAAGGGCAATAGTAACTAACACGGAAGAAGCTGAATGATGGAACATTAAGGGTATTAAAAGGAAGTGTTTGTTCACCAGCACATAATTAGACTGCTTCTAAAAGAGATACCATGTTCCTCCCTTGCAGACAAATCAGGGAAGAGTCTTGTAGCACCTTAAGAACTAGTGAGCATATATTTGAGTGGAATAGAGCCCATGTCTTCTGATCATAGAATCACAGAGTTGGAAGAGACCTTGTGGGCCATCTAGTCCAGGAAAATTGCATTCAAAGCACCCCTGACAGATGGCCATCCAGTCTTTGCTTAAAAGCCTCCAAAGAAGGAGCCTCCACCACACTCCGGGGTAGAGAGTTCCACTGCTGAACATCTCTCACAGTCAGGAAGTTCTTCCAAACCCCCGGTGGCGCAGTGGGTTAAACCCTTGTGCGGGCAGGGCTGAAGACCGACAGGTTGCAGGTTCGAATTCGGGAAGAGCACAGATGAGCTCCCTCTGTTAGCTCCAGCTCCCCATGCGGGGACATGAGAGAAGCCTCCCAAAAGGATGGTAAAACATCAAAACATCAGGGCGTCCCCTGGGCAACGTCCTTGCAGACAGCCAGTTCTCTCACACCAGAAGTGACTTGCAGTTTCTCAAGTCGCTCCTGATACGAAAGAAAAAGGAAATTCTTTCAAATGTTCAGGTGGAATTTCCTTTCCTGTAGTTTGATGCATGGAGGATAACCTCATTTGATAGATATTTATACACATGCTGTGATGGGGGGTATGAGATGCAACTGATATAGTTTCTTAACATACTTGCATTGCCATTTTGTGCCTCATTGGCAGCATCTGTGCCCATGTAGTTGGATGCAAAATAGTTACATCAGTGCTGAGATCTGCCAGAGTCATCTAGAGGACTCAGTAATGGTGTAATTACTTCATGTTTGGTTACAGAGATGTAGCCACATGTATCCCACATCTTGTTTACTTTTGGATGAACATGTCTTTGGAGCCTGTAGAGGAGGCCTGGGCAAACTTTGGCCCTCCAGGTGTTTTGGACTCCAACTCCCACAATTCCTAACAGTCATTAGGCTGTTAGGAATTCTGGAAGTTGAAGTCCAAAACATCTGGAGGATCAAAGTTTGCCCATGCCTGCTGTAGAGTAAAGTGGGAAGGCTTGTGTGCTTCACTCACTGTATATAGTCAGGAAGGGAACACCAATTCCAGGAGCATCTCAAAAAAAGACACACACAAATTTCAATAGTTGCCATTGAAAAGACTTCGGCAGGTGCTAAGTACTTACAAGCACCGGTAAATAGATTTACACAATTATGGGATAGAAAAGCCTTTGAGCTGAATGTACGAGAAGAATTTATTATATGAATATACATAAATGGTGGGAAGATTAAAATCAAATGGAAGGACAGAATAGCAATATGAAAAATACGAGTAGAAATAACTGCCCAAACAATTTTTATTAAAAGATACAAAATCAGATATAACAGAGATAAGCCTGCCTAGATGAATTGATTATTGTATATCCAGGGCAGACATGTAAAATTCTGGAAATTTTGAAGTTATTATTTTCCCCCTAGTTTTTTCCCAGTCTGGAGATACAATGCTGGAACTCTCTTCAACTCAGGAACATAAAATGCATTATACATAAATTAGTTTGACATCAAATTCTTATGTTTGAAAAATGCTATTTTTGAGGAAAGATTTTTTTTCTCGAAGGAAATACTTTGTATCAACTTGCAACGCATTAAGCCTGGGCTCGCTCAAGACATTTTGCTGCCATTGATAGAAGTCAACCAGACTAAAGCTGAATCATAATTTGACACAATGGTAGCTGATGGCTTTTACGTCAGCAGGGTCATGAATCTGCTTTGAAGGAGCTATTCAATGTGCTGAACTCCAAACCTAGTTTCAGCACTTCAATCCTTCAAAGTTCTGACTAAAACCCATGAAAGATTTACCACTTGATTGACATGGATTTGCTGCCACTGGAGACTCTACTCCATCTCAAGAGTAGACTGTCTGGAACAGGCTAACTTTTGCATCCTGTTAGTGACAAAATCTAGACTCAAGGATATTTTGCAAGAATCAAAACTGATAAAGATAAAAGCATACAAGCAGTTAGTTTTAAAATATAGTTACATTTTAATTGCAAAGTTACAATAGGGTCATGTCTTTAAAATAAGGTTATTGATATTACAGTTGGCCATCCAAATTTGCAAGGTTAACTTTTGCGGATTTGAATAATCATGGATTTGATTAAGACATTCTGTCCCTAAATTTCTAGATCCTCCAACACCACTCTATGGCCATCTTCTGACAGACATTGACCACAGAGCCATCCTGGAAGACCTAGAGATTCCTAGAGCAGTGCTTTCTCAGGTTTCCCCACTTTTATGGGGATCCTTTGCCCTTGTTCCCATCAAATGTGGAAAGTCCACTGCACATTTTCTTTATACGCGGTTTTGAAGTGTACAATTGTATATTTCTTCCAGCAAGAAGTACAAACCTTTCTGGTAATTTTTGCCTTGATTGCTGTTCCTTGGATGCTCCTGATTAAGCCCTTCATCCTTCGAGCCAATCATCAAAAGCAGCAGAGAATGGTAAGTACAAAGATCCCCCGCGATAGTGGGGCTCTTTGAGTTCAAGGTTGTGTAGGTCAAGTAAAAGGATTTTGTAGTGAAATTTTGCAAGCATTCGCCATTGTTCTTCCTTTTCTGCAGAAAAAGTCCTACTCCCTTCAGGGGACAAAAACCTATACATTTATAATGCAGTGATTTAACTGTGCTATAAAATCATGGTTTGTCTTGATATGAGAATTATCATTTTCCAGACTTTGGTTGGAAAAGCACATTGTAGAAGCAAAGTTTGTATAGGTTTTGGGTAAACATTGGTTAGTATTGTATCTAAACCAGAAAGTGGAATAATGTGGGCCTCCAGATGGTGTTGGACCGCCAATCCCAATGATCTTCCCTACTGGCTAAGGCAATATCTCTAGAGTTGTTGTCCCCAACCTTTGGTCCTCTAGTAAGTGGTTCTCAATCTGTGGTTCCTCAGGTGTTTTGGCGTACAACTCCCAGAAATCCCAGCCATTTTACTAGGAGTTGAAGGCCAAAACATCTGGGGACCCGCAAGTTGAGAACCACTGCTCTAGGTGTTTAGGATTTCAGCTTCCACAATTCCTAACAATTGGTAAGCTGGCTGGGATTTCTTGGAGTTGAAATCCAAAACACCTGGAGGACTAAATCTTTGGAACCATTGCTCTAGAGCAGTGGTTCCCAATCTTTGATCCTCAGGTGTTTAGGATTTCGGCTCCCACCATTCCTAACAATTGGTAAGCTGTCAGGGTTTCCAGGGGTTGAAGTCCAAAACACCCAGAGGACCAAAGCTTGGGAACCATTGCTCTAGGGTAGTGGTTCTCAACCTGTGGGTCCCCAGATGTTTTGGCCTTCAACTCCCGGAAATCCTAACAGCTGGTAAACTGGCTGGGATTTCTGGGAATTGTAGGCCAAAACACCTGGGGACCCAGAGATTAAAGAACCACTACTCTAGGGTTACATGATTCCTACTCTTACTCTGAACCAAGCCATTAGTACATCCTCAGTAGTAGGGAGACAGTAATCAAACACTTGTCTGAGATTACTGGGAAAGGCCTCTTCTCTTCCATTTCCCAAGTTAATTGAGTGTTCAATACGTTTGCACTTTGAACAGTTTGCAGCAATTGTATAATCTAAGGATGAAGATGGGAAAAGGAGAGAAAAACCTTTTTAAATTTCTCAGAAAGTGGGATTGCAGAGTATTAATTGAGACTGTTTTGAAGGGGCAGCGATGTAGGGGCACAGGCTCACCAGCACTCCAAATACATAAGCTTAGGAATCCCCTCAAAGGCCCAGGTTGCAGTGCAAGGAGGAGACCACAAGTTGGATTCTTTCTACAAAGGCTTTCATTGCAGGCCTAACTATAAGGTGACAGTAGTGCCCACTGCACAAAAGTTCTGTCGCAACCTGAAATGGGCTTGCACAGCTTTTTATCACTTTCACAGGTAATTGTAAACACATTATTATTGGTATTCAAATATCAATTATTTTATTGGTCTAAGATACAGATGCTCATTGGCTCTTTATGACTTTGACAGACATGAAGGCACATGCGGGATCTTAATAATGGCACAACTATAGTCTATTGTTCTTTGGCCATGAACACTCAGTTGGAAAGTATCTATAGGTCGGTACTTCAAGCCGCTTGGAAATTAAGAGAGTATTAGGGAGTACTTTCTGTCCAACTCTGGTCCTTGGCAGCTTTTTCTCTAAACATCAGCATTTTTGTAAACAAAGGCCCTCTGCAAAAGCAGGCACATAGGATTTTCAATCATTGGAAGCATCCATGAAAATCCCTTTTTAAAACTATGTCTCCCTCAGTTTGATAAATCAGGACAGTTGGAGGCTACAGTTGACCATTTGAATCCATAGATTCAACTATCCACAGCTTGGAATTTTTTAAAAAAAAAAATTCCAAAAGGAAAACCTTGATTTTATTATTTTATATTAGAGATCCCATTTTCCTCCACCTTTTATATATAATAGGACCTGAGTATCCACAAATTTTAGTATCCATGGGGCTTACTGTCAATAAACTCCAATGGATACCATGGATCCACTGTATGTGTTTCCACCAGCCATGCCTAGGAAGGTTATGAGTCTGAAAGGCCCGCCCCAACAATCATAGAGTCTAGTCAGGTGCGTAAATAAATGTCTCCATTTATATTTATTTATTTATTACATGCAACTTTTTTCAAGGAGTCAAGATTCTTGAAAATGGTTATTCAGTTTTATTCTTGCAACAATTGTGTGCATAATCTTGTGCCTAGAGAGAGATACTATGATTTTGCCCAAGGCTATTTACTAAATTTCATTATTGAGCAGAAGATTGGAACTAAGTCTCCCCGGTTCATCGCTAACGTTCTCTCCACTACATCACATGGCTCTGAAACATATAAAAAAGAGACTTTTGAATTGCAAATAGTTTCTAATGCAATTATTTCCACTAAAAGGATGCACACCTCCAATACTTACGGTTACTGGCATATCCCAACTTTCTTCGAAGGATGTCTGCACACAGAATTAATTTTTTAAATGAACTGTGATTTCAGACAAAGAATGTTTTTCATCACCTGTAATTCACAATTTTACTGCGAGACACATTTATCCATTTTCCATAGTAATGGAGGAATAATGAGTCCATTTACCTTGCTTAATAAGAGTAAGGACCTTTCTCTAGCTTGTTACATTCTGAAATTGAAAGCTAATAAATTCTTAGACAGAACTGATGGGAAAATTGATAACTTGAATACCGCTAGTGATTGCTCATATCTCTAATGGGAAATTAAGGTCTCTTTTAAGCAGGGTAGACAGTTTTTCACCAGGGACAACACACAATTTTGATCCTTAGAATGAGCCACACCAGGCAGTTTTCAGCCAGAAGGTGCGGTCAGAAATCATTTTCAAATTCCATAGTTTGGATGGGATTTTTGGATGGGATGTGTGTGTGTAGTTATCTTGCTGCTGGTGAAAGGATCCAGCAGTGAGAGCTGGGCTTATTAAAACTGAGGGAGTGGGATTTTTACCTGGAAAAATTGGAGAGGAATGAGAGCCACATATTGAACATAGGCTGCTTTTTACCTTAGTCTCTCCATTAGAATAATTCATTTACCTATTTCTGTAATCAGCACTAGGAATGGCATATTAAACCAAGTCAGAATGCTGTTCCACCAGTATTATCCCTGTTCACTTAAAGCAGTTCTCCAGAGGTTCACATACTCTTTCACAAATACAAATACTGTAAATAAATAAATAAACACGGCAGAGATACCAGGGATTGTATCTGTCGTGTTCTTTGTGCAATTTATATATTCCAGAACTTGCTTGCTTGGTTTTTTCTTTCTTATCCTTCAGTAATGAAACATATATCTTGCCCCTCTATCTAAAGATGTCAGGGTATGGAATAATAATAATAATAACTTTATTGGGTTGTTGAACTGCATCAGAGGACATAGAGATTCTTAGAAAGCTGTTCTCACTAGTAATCTCTAGGTCCTCCAGCATGACTCTATATAGTCAACTTCCAACAGAAGTGGAAGGCTCTGAAGAGTCATAGAGACAACATTTTAATCAATGGAGGGTGACTGTAATATGATTTTTAAAGGCCAAAAACATATTGAAGAATTTACAGTTAAAAAAACAAAACATATTGAAACTAGTTTCAAAGACTTTAAAATAGTTTTAAACAATGCACTTTTGTGCATCTGTATAACACCAGTTAGGGCCCAAAGACTTTTGTGGACAACTATCTTTTCACTTGACACAGGACTGACAGAAATGCAGGTGCAACTGGGTCTCCAAGGTGAGGTTGTTTATAATTGGGATGCCACAGAGAGAAAGCCTTCTGTTGTGTCCTTCAATAATATATTGCTCTGACTGAAAGGACACTGTGCTTGGAATGTTTTCAAAGGAATTTGTTGTATGTTCATTTTTAATAGTGCCTCATTAATGTCATATATTTTTTGGAAAGTTGTATTATTCGTTATCCAAGGAAGAATTTTGGTAGTAGCATATTATAAAAATTAATTGTGGAGAAGAAAAGTTACTTTAAGAAAATAGGCCCTCAATCTAGTTTTTCCCAACTAGAGTAGACTCACTGAATCAATAGTTAACCGGTGAGTCAACAGATAGACAGATAATAATAATAATAATAATAATAATAATAATAATAATAATAATAGATAATAATAACAACAACAACAACAACAACAATAAGTTAACTGGTGAGTCAACAGATAGACAGATAATAGGATTCATACCTGTGTTTGTACTACAGGCATCCTCCATATCTACAGATTAAATCATCCACTGCTTGAAAATATTTTCTTCTCTGCCAAAACATTCTGGAAAAAAAACAACCCTTGATTTTTTGTATAAGGGATGCCATTTTACTACAACATTGTATATAATGGTACTTGAGCATTCATGGATTTTGGAACCAAACCTCAGCGAAGGGCCCACTATAATATTATTACACCAAAATCAATATGTGACTCCACCACTAAGCTATAGCTTCTGATTTGTGACAGTTCTACATTTTGTCAAAAGTTGTCTCAAAGCCTCCTTCATTTTTTAATATTAAGTATTCTTTTTCTTGGGTATCACACACTTCCTTGACCCATTTCAAACCAGCTTCAGAGCAGGATACGGACTGCTATGGTTGCCTTAGTGGATGATCTCCATCTTAACACTGACAAAGGGTGTGTGTCCCTGTTGATGCTTCCAGACCTTTCAGTGGCTTTTGATACCATCAGCCATGATATCCTTCTGGAACACCTGGAGGGGCTGGGAATCAGAAGCATGGTGCTGCAGTGATTCCGGTCGGACCTTTCAGGCAGGTTCCTGATGGTGGTGCTTGGGGATAGTTGCTACTCAAAAATAAGTTGTCATATGGTATCCCACAAGATGCCATTATATCCCCAATGCTCTTTAATATTTACATGAAGTCAGTGGTAGAGATCATCCATAGGCATGGGGCAGGCTGTTATCAGTATGCTGAGGACACCCAAATATATTTTTCCATGCCTTCCAAAACAGCCTCAGCCAGGGCCGTAGCCAGAAAAAAATTTCGGGAGGGGTTGAAATTTTCAGGGGGGGTTGAAAATTTCACGGGGGGGGGGGTTGAAACATGCCTCCTAGCTCACGCTGGAGCAAAGAGCACAGCAGGGGGCAGAGCAGCCTTCAATAGCCTGCAGCTCCGCCCTTGTCAACCACGTCCACCAAGTCTGGCCTCCTTAATGAGAGCATTCAACATCCCCACCCCCCAACTTGGTTGCTTCACTACTGTTCTGTCACGCGCTGAGCCTGTAAATAATTGTCTTTAGAATAGGATGTGCAACCTTTGCCCAGCGGGAAGCCAGGGGGCCTAAAGAGAAGTTCTCAGAGGTTTCCACCACAAACAGTCTTTAGATGGCTTGAGAAGTACAACAAAGTCTTTTATTAATGAATAATCAAACAGAAACTTCTCTTGTCTTCAGTAAAGTTAAGCAAATGATTCCAAGCTTTTAGTCAACTGGTGAATTCCTAATCTTGCCCACGAAGGACAGGCAACTGTCTTCAATAACTTCTCCTTTCAAGGAAAATCCCCTTTTTAACTTCTCCCAGGATGACTGTAATCTAACCCTTACTGATGTGGGCTCCGCTACCAGGTCAAACTGCGTCTCGAACGCCGAGTGGACCTACCAGCAAGGCAGTAGATGTTCTCCAGCTGGAGTTCTTTGGTCTTTAGGGCTGTTTTCCTGGAAATTCTTTGGAGACTCTTAAGACCTTTCTCCCCCGGAAGGTCTTAAGGGTTGAAGCTTTTGTACATCCTATACATAAGCTTACCTTGCTGAGACTAACTAAAAATGGCTCCCTTCCCAATTGCCCTGAGCAAGGGGCGGGACCAAAACTTAACAATGATAGACAGGTGACTTGCCCTATGACTGCAACCAAAGAAGCCACCTATCTGCAGAGTCCCTGAAACCTAGGACTGCAGGCAAACATTTAATACAAAGCAAATAAAGTTGGAGCTCCTGGTACAGCTGTACCAGAACAACTACATCGGCTATTGCTGCAAGTAATGACAGTGTGAATAAATTGCTAATATTTGCTTGAGATAGTGCTTGAAGTTCTGGAGGGATGCTTGATTTTTTGCATCTCATAGACTTAGCATGGGGATTTGGTTAACCAGTTAAAATTCATGAGTAAACCAGGTTTAAAAAAAAATCTGAAACATTTCGGGGGGGGGGGTTGAACCCCTAACCCCCCCCCCCCCTCGCTAGGGGCCTGGCCTCAGCTAAGGATAGTGTGTCTCCTCTGAATGAATACCTGTAGGAAGTAATGGGCTGGATGAGGAAAAACAATTGAAGCTGAATCCGGACAAAACAGAGGCTCTTGCCATCAAGGGTTCTAATCTGGGAATGGAGGTGTGTCAACGACTCCTGGATGGGGTTACACTCCCTCGAAAGACTGTGTCCGCAGCTTGGGAGCGCTCCTGGATCCATCTTTCTAAATGTCAGCCCAAGTGGACAGTCAGGAATACTCACTGTCAGCTTCAGCTGATATGCTAGCTGCACCCCTTCCTAGAAACTGAGGACCTAAAAACGGTAGTGCATGTACTGGTAAGCTCAAGGTTAGACTTCTGCAATGTGCTTTACATTGGGCTACCTATGTACCAAGTTCATTCAAAAACTCCATTCAAAACGCAGCAGCCAGATTGGTCACAGGAACATCCAGGAGTGAGCATATCACCCTTATACTAAAGTCACTCTACCTGTTGCTAATTATTTTCCAGGCAAAGTACAAAGTGTTGGTTTTAACCTTTAAAGCCCTACATAGCTTAGGTCCAGGTTACCTACAGGATCACCTTCTCCCGTACAATCCGCTCTGCACACTTAGATCATCGGGGGGGGGGGGGGGTCTACTTCATCCATCCAGAACCCAACTAGTGACCACCATCTAGAGGACCTGTTTATCAGACTGTGGAACAACTTGTTCAGAAAAGATTCAACAGCTAGATCTGCTGTCAGAATTTAAAACACAACTGAAGACCCATCTCTTCCAGCAGGCCTACCCAGTCAATTACATTTTAATATGCATTTTATCAGTGGATTTTAACTTGTATTTTAACTGTGTATCTTATTGTATGTCTTTTAATAGTGTTTATCTCTTATTTTAATGATGTTGTATCCTACCTCAAGCACCAGGGAGAGGCAGGCAATAAATTCATTATTGTTCATCTTCTTCTTCTTATTAAGCTGATGTCATCTGAACTGTCTGGGAGTCCCACAGGTGATATCGAGGTGGATATCATGGAGTCTAAGGACCCCAAGAAGGCAAACCACCATGACCATGAGGCTGGTGGCCACGGAGGACATGGGGATCATGAGGAAGAGGTAAGCTGGTGGAATGAGGGCACCTAAAAAAACCTCCAGTGCGAAAGCTGATTGTTTCCCTAGCGTAATTTAGTGCATGTGACAATAAATACAACCTGAATGCCATGTGTAAACTCACATGGTAATATTCCTGGAATCTTCACATCTTAGCTTAGTGATGGTTGAGGATGTGTCAAAAAGGAGCTTGCATGCATCCCCATGGATGATATTTTCCTACTTGTCTTGGCAAATCCTGCAATAGCCTCAGGTCTTTGACCTGTTTTGCAGTTTGATAGAGCATTGGCAGCTGGATGTCATGAGGTCCTTTTTTGAAAAAAGAGCTTTGTAATTTTGTTGCCTACTATAGATCCAGCAATCCCAAAGTGATGCCTGTAGGCCTATGACAAAGTGCTTGTGCTACCTCGCACCATTTTCCTTTATCCTGTAGTTCAAGTGAATGGAGCATTTTTTTCATAATTATGTCTATTTTTATTTTACTTCTTTTATTACATATCATTGTAATTGTGATCTTAAACACCCTGAAAGCATCACATCCTATCTGATCTTGGAAGCTATGTGGAGTCAGACTTGGATGGGAGAACCATCAATGTATTACCAGGTGCTACAGACCATATTTCAGAAGAAGGAACTAGTAAAATCATCTGTGACTATTTATTGCCTAAAAAAACCCCCTATAAATGTATGGGGTCACCATACATTGAAAGATGACTTGAAGATGTGCATGCAGACACACTATTAAAGCCAATTTTGTACCTTGCGTTCAAGTGAGTGGCGCACTTTCTTCATTCCTTTGTGGGTAAAGACAAGATGAAGATAATGGTTAGTTGGTTGGTTGGTCTCTCTCTCTCTCTTCCTCCTCCTTCCCCTTCTCCTCCTACCCTTCCTCTTAGAAATATAAAGAAAAGAAAAGAAAGCAGGGTGCTCTCCTAATTTTGTGATTGGCTTCATCTCCATAGCACAATAGCCATTTTGTGACTGTGTTCGAAATGTTTTTTATTATTACTACTAGCAGTTCGAAAACATACAAATGTGATTAGATCAATAGGTACCACTCCGGCGGGAAGGTAATGGTGTTCCATGCAGCCATGTCCTTGGAGGTGTCTACGGACAACGCCGGCTCTTCGGCTTAGAAATGGAGATGAGCAGCACACCCCAGAGTTGGACACGACTGGAATTCATGTCAGAGGAAAACCTTTACCTTTATCTAGCCGTCCCCTGCCATGCGTTGCTGTGGCCCACATGGGGTTCTGTGTGGGAGGTTTGGCCCAATTCTATCATTGGTGGGGTTCAGAAGGCTCTGTGATTGTAGGTGAACTATAAATCCCAGCAACTACAACTCCCAAATGTCAAGATTCTATTTTCCCCAAACTCCACCAGTGTTCACATTTGGGCATATTGAGTATTCGTAGAGTTTGGTCCAGATCCATCATTGTTTGAGTCCACAGTGATCTCTGGATGTAGGTGAACTACAACTCCAAAACCAAAGGACACTGCCCACCAAACCCTTCCAGTGTTTTCTGTTGGTCATGGGAGAACTGTGTGCCAAGTTTGGTTCAATTCCATCGTTGGTGGGGTTCAGAATGCTCTTTGATTGTAGGTGAACTATAAATCCCAGCAACTACAACTCCCAAATGACAAAATCATTTTTGAGTGAAGGACATACATTGGGTTGTTAGGTGTCTTGTGTCCAAATTTGGTGTCAATTCATCCAGTGGTTTTTGAGTTCTGTTAAACCCACAAATGAACATTACATTTTTATTTAGATAGATTCGTCCAAGCATGTTCACAGGCGTGTATACATTAAAAATAGAGGATCGGTTTTCAGATTGTCTTTAAAGTATGTATAAATGACATTTACAAACTGATTATGAGATAAATTTCATCGCAATGTTTGCACAAAGATATCCTGGTAGATTTCCAATCTTCTTGAACTGTTAAACAAGTGAACTTTACGGAAGATACTGATGTAGGGAGAAAAGTGTCTGAAACTAGAGTGGAAAAGCTGGCTTGCAGGGACATTCAACTTCAAAAACTATATTGAGAATTGTCCTCTAATCAGCTTTACACAGCTTTATAGGTCCAACTGGTTTCAAAGGTTTATTGTCTGTCTGTTTGTTTATAAAAATCATTTTAAATATCACTCTTCCTCATTGCTGATGTTAGGGCAGAGTATAAATGTGATTATAATCATGTTTACTTAGGCAAGAAACAGATAATCAGAGATAGTTTTGCCAGTTCCTTCTTCTGAAATACAGCCTACAGCACTTGGTATTGATGGATTTCACATCCAAGTCCTAACCAGGGCTGATCCCACCTAGACCCCCTTCTACACTGCCATATAATCCAGATTATGAAATCAGATAATCCACATTATCTGATTTGAACTGATTAGGAGCCTACACTGTTATATAATCCAGTTCAAAGCAGATAATCAGGATTTTACATGGCAGTGTAGAAGGGGGTCTAGGTGGGATCAGCCCTGGTTAGGACTTGGATGTGAAATCCATCAATACCAAGTGCTGTAGGCTATATTTCAGAAGAAGGAACTGGCAAAACTATCTCTGATTATCTATTTCTTCTACACTGCCATATAATCCAGATTATGAAATCAGATAATCCACATTATCTGCTTTGAACTGATTATAGGAGCCTACACTGTTATATAATCTAGTTCAAAGCAGATAATCAGGACTTTATATGCCAGTGTAGAAGGGGGCCTTAGTTTCCAAGATCAGATGGGATTTGGTGCCTTTTGGGTTTTTTAAGATCATGATTATATAAATACGTAATGCAATAAAAAAATAAAAACAGGCATCATCATGAAAAAGAAGGCAGCAAATATATTTGTTGTTGTGCATCCTCAAGTTGTTTTCAAATTATGGTGACTCTAAAGAGAACCTGTCTTGAGATTTATTTATTTATTGGCACTGTTTACGCAGAGGAGATGTGCTTTTTTAATGTAACAGAAGAGATAAAATTATTCTGTTGACATCCATAGCACGAGAGCAGTTATAAGCAAGGAGAGAATATGGTCTTGTCATTTGAGAAAAATATATTCAAATCTTTTTCAGGTTTACGAATGGGATTATATAGTTGTTTGGTTTCTAACCATCATATATCTTGTGTGTTTCTTTAAAATCTTATTTCAGTTCAACTTTGGAGATATCTTTGTGCACCAGTGCATCCACACCATTGAATACTGCTTGGGTTGCATTTCCAACACGGCTTCCTACCTACGGCTCTGGGCTCTTAGTTTGGCTCATGCGCGTGAGTTTTCTTTTTTGCTCGTTCATCCCTATGAGGTGCCCCGGGTTAAACCCTTGTGCCAGCAGGACTGAAGACTGACAGTTTTTGAGGTTCGAATCCAGGGAGAGTGTGGATGAGCTCCCTCTGTCAGCTCCAGCTCCCCGTGCAGGGACATGAGAGAATCCTCCCACAAGAATGGTAAAACATCAAAACATCTGGGCATCCCCTGGGCAACATCCTTGCAGACTGCCAATTCTCTCACACCAGAGGCAACTTTCAGTTTCTCAAGTCGCTCCTGACATGAAAAAAAAATCCCCATGAGCAAGAACTGGGTTGCGGCATGGATTATCTTAATACGACACATCAACACGGAAGAGTTGAATAGGCTGCAAGGAAGTTGGGAAATGTATTGTCGAAGGCTTTCATGGCTGGAATCACTGGGTTGTTGTAGGTTTTTTCGGACTATATGGCCATGTTCTAGAGGCATTCTCTCCTGACGTTTCGCCTGCATCTATGGGGAAATTTCACTCTGGGAGAAATATGGACTTAGGATGCATCTCTACTGCAGAATAAATACAGTTTGACACCACTTTGACTGGCATAACTCAATGCTGTGGAATCATGACATTTGTAGTTTGGTGAGGCAGCAGCACTTTTTGGCAGAAACAGCTAAAGACCTTGTAAAACTATAAATCCATGGAACTTAAAGTGGTATCAATCTGCATTCATTCTGCATCTTTAGTTAGGCACCTTTAAACTAAAGCAAAAGCAGGAGAGCAACTTCTACAAATATTTTGGCCTACATTGAAAGGTTAGGAAACCATCCTGTTTTGCAGTTAGTGGAAACTACCGAATGGAGATTAAAATAGTTGCCTGCGCAGAACGAGGAGAATTGGTCCAATTGGCTGAACTCACCCATGTGAGTGATGCTAGACGCATTGGCTTTGTGTTCAGCATATGTCCTAAGTAGTGTTGTATAGCCCAATGTGATTGATTGCACTGTTTTGATGCTGTCACGCTCACTGTAACTTGAAATCAATCTTAAGCAGGAGAACAAAACCCTAGCTCTAACCCTATTTTAATGGCACTGCTGCATTGGCGGAGAAAGGAAACAAAGAGAGTGAGCAGGCTCAAAGAAAGGTGGATATTATCTTTTCTTTTCTGCAAACACGGTGACAAAGGAACATTGCATTGGCTCCAGGAAGTGAGGGAGCAAATAAATACATGGCAAATGCCAGCCATTAAATAATTTAGACTATTGACTAAAATAAAATTCCTAAATCTCAGCTAGAGTACACATATAGTATCAGTGTCACTGTGGGGTTAAAATTCAGCAATTGATTCAATATATTTGCTGTAGCTGGGAATAGTAGTGGAATGTAGGACTTGATCCAAGCTCCTTTGGGCCTGTCCAGACAATCTATTGTGGTAGATTGCGGTATCTACCACAATAAAGGAGGATCTGTCCAGACAACATTCTGGGTAGTCCCGAATTAATTCACTACAAACCAGGAAAACTGTTTCCCATAGTTTACTGGGTTAAATAAGCCTGGTAAACTGTGAGAATACCCACCCCCTCTCCAGAAGCCCCCAGACCCCCTTGAAAAGTAATGAAAACTTACCCGGCCTCCATTACTGGCTTCGACCAGCTCTCCCAGCACACAGAAATGATGTGCCAGGAGAGCAAGGGGAGGAGGGAGGAAAATTGCTTCCCCACCTTGCTCTCCTGGTGCGTCAGGAGAACTGCTCAAAGCCTGTAATGGAGGCTGGAATGAATATAAATATCAAATTTGTAAAAGAACTATGTGTTCTATAATACACTTTATTTATAATAATACGCTTAATTTCTATTCCACTTTGTCTCCCCAGAGGAATTACAGTATACACATATAAGGCAAACATTCAGTGCCTTTTTACGCAGTGACCCAAATGGCATACAATACACAGACAGTTAAAGGCCTTGCCCTTCTATCTCCGGCATCTGGAGGCAATGCTCAACTCCAGCCATGGAGAGGTGCTCTTGTTCCATTTTTCCATGCCAAGGAGCCTATTGACCATTGACATCTCCAATCGAGTTGTCTGCATGGGGTGCCTTTTTACTATTCTGCCGAGGTGGTACTCGCATTATATAATAAAGCACCGAGGAAATAGAGTAAGATTTTAAATTTTAAATTATTGACGGGGAAAATATATATAAAATAATCCCAACGCTTGTTGCTCAGCCAAAATTAAAAAGCAGTCAAAAGGAAGAGGGAGTATGGTTGCTGAACCAACTGTATATTTAAAAGTTAGGAACTGGGAACCACTGGATCTGAGAGACTTAAAATGATTCTTCAAATCTGCCGCTGCCACCATTTCAATATTAATCAGGCTGAGGTAATATTGAGAGTTTGTTTTATAACACACACTGTGCCACTATAGTTTCTTAGAGGCTGCTGTGAAGCTGGCTTTAGTAATACTTTGACCACAAAGGTATTCACACTGAGGCTGGTATAAGTTGAATAAAAGAACTAGAATGTTTATTAAACAGGCTTGAAATATTCAGATACAAATGCTTAATGGTTTCAGTAAAATACTGGAATAAAAAGCTTGTGGTTGCGTTAGAGTCAAAATCTTAAAAACTTCTGGGTTACAAGTCTTCAAAGTTCCACCACATAAAATTACTTCAGGAAATGAATCTCTGAAAGTAAATACCCCTTAGGAATCTAGCCAAAAATACCCTGAACTAGACTTCCTTAGGAATTGAATAGACCAATAACGGGGTACTGCTCCACAACACAGTATTCTAGCTATCTGCTCAATACTTCACAAAAGACTAACCCAATCTTCTTCTCTAAACCCAAACTCTCTCTCACTAACACCAACCCTTCTTCTCTGTTTAACATCCAAACTCCAACTCCCTAAACTGGGACTTCAAGCCTCAGTTTAAAAGACACTTTTTTTCCTCTAGACCACTTAAGCTCCGCCTACATCTTTCTAGCCAATCCTAGCTTTCTGATTTTCCCTCCAAGACCTGAACCCTCAAGGCAAACCTAACTAAAATGGCTTCTCCCTGTCTCCCTTTTCTAAAATGAATGCCGTGGCTTCGCCAGGCCCATTCCCTTCGGCTGTCAGGCAGCTAGCTAAGGTAAGGGATTCATTACACATTACATGCTTTCGAACTGCTAGGTTGGTAGAAGCTAGGGCTGACAGTTGGGAGCTCACCCCAACTCATGGCTTTGAACGGCAAACCCTCCAGTCAGATTTCCTGCATCTAGTGGTGTAACCGCTGTGCTACTGTGGCCCTCTATGATATTGTTGTTATTGTTGTTGTTATTCAGCACCTCAAATATACCTTAAAAACAGCTACAATCCCCCAAAAATTATTGCAACTGATTTGAGTGTTGTCAAAGGCTTTAAAAGTGTAATGATAAAAACAAAAATAATAATTTGCTGCTTCCTGAAAAATGGTTTCTAGGCCTTACTGGAGGGTTTTATCCATTGTTTATTGGGACAGGGTGTTTCCAGCTTGATAGAAAAATCTGTATCAGTGTATTTTAAAATTTTTGATTCCCAAGACTGATTCTCACTCGCCATATTTCTCTTTGTGCTCTCTTTCTCTCTCTTTTCCTTTCCAGAGCTCTCCGAAGTCCTCTGGACCATGGTGTTTAAGATTGGATTTGGGTTCAAAAACTGGGCAGGACTCATTGTGGTTTTTATCATCTTTGCTGTCTTTGCTGGCCTGACAGTAGCGATTCTGCTTATCATGGAAGGCTTGTCTGCCTTCTTACATGCATTGAGGCTTCACTGGTAAGAAGAAATAGGGCTGGCGAGTACATTTTTCTTCCATTTGCATTCTAATGCAAACCCTTTCTAATTTGCACTTCCCAAATAACTTTTCGTGTCTCTAGATTTTCCCTCTTTGATCGAAGAATGCAAATACAAATTGTGGGGAGAGGGACGTGGAAAGAAAAATGCATACATTGGGGAAGATAGCTTGAGATAATGCACTGTGTAAGGAGAAATTGCTTGCAAAAATGTATTTACTAGGCTTTTTCATGTTCTATATCTCATTCTATTTCTTTCCCACTTTCTTTTCTCTTTTGAAGCTTTCTTTTATCATTACATAAAAAAGTACGCTAGAGATAATAAGCTAAATGAATCCTTTATGGAACACAAGACTAGTTTAACGTTTTGCTTTGTGTCTGTTCCTTCCTGCTTAGGGTGGAGTTTCAGAACAAATTCTATGCCGGAGCGGGTTATGCATTCACACCATTCTGCTTTAGGACCATCATTGAAGGAACAGAAGAATGAAGTCTATTCAGAGCATGGAAATCTAATCTCCTTGTCTTGCTTCCATTCTTTTTTTCTTCTTCTAGGGAATTAAAAACCATGATGAATAAAGACACTGCTTCTGCATGGCCTTAATATATTGCACAATTAGTTGTACAGGAAAATCTCCTTTACCTAACTGGTTGGCGAAACAGCTTCACTACTCAGTCCAGTAGCCTTCATAGATAGTTAAGCGTAATCCTTTCCTATGCCATCTGTTGTAAACAAAACCACGTATCAGCAATCTGGCTCTAAACAAAGATCTGAACCACAAATTTTAGTTTGCTTCTTTTATTTGATGTCACAACATGAGCCGGCATGGTGTATTGGTTTGAGGTGTTGGACTACAACCCTGGAGAACAGAGTTCAGATCTTTGCTTGGGCATAGAAATCCACCAGATGACCATAGGCAAGTCACACTTTCTCTCCTTCAGAGAATGGTGAGGACAAACCCACTCCAAACAAACCTTTCCCAAAAAACCCTGTGATAGTGTTGCCTTGGGGCAGGTATGGGCAAACACAGGCCCCTTTGGGCTCTTTTCTCTCACCATCCTATCCTTGGGTTGTTGTAGGTTTTCCGGACTAAATGGCCATGTTCTAGAAGCATTCTCTCCTGACGTTTCACCTGCATCTGCGGCAAGCATCCCAAGAATGCTTGCCATAGATGAGGATCTGAGGATGCGCATCTGCATCTAAGAATGCTCATCTGCATCTCATGTATCTGAGGATGTTTGCCATAGATGCAGGCAAAACGTCAGGAGAAAATGCTTCTAGAGCATGGCCATATAGCCCGAAAAACCTACAACAGCCCAGTTATTCCAGCCATGAAAGCCTTTGACAATACATCCTTTCCTTCCTTCCTTCTCTTTCCTTCTTCCCTCCTTCCCTCCCTTCTCTACCTCCCTTCATTACCTCCCTCTTTCTCCCTCCCTCCTTCCTTCCCTTCCACCCTTTCATCCTTCCTTCCTTCCCTCTTTCCTCCCTCCTTCCACCTCTCTCTCCTTCCTTCTTTCCATCCATCCATCCATCCCTTTCGTCTTTTCATCCATCTCCTCCCCACCTTCCTTCTCTTTTTCCTTTCTCCTTTTTTCCTGGGGGGTATTTAGCTGGAAGAAGAGAAAGTAGAGAGGGAACATGAGAACCATGTTTCAAGATTTAAAAGGGTGTCCAATTGAGGAGGAGGAGGGGAAAAACTGCCTTTCTGCTGCTCTAGAGACCAGGACACAAGGGAGCAATGGTTTCAAATGGCATGGAAGGCGATTCAACTGAAAAGATTAGGAAGAACTTCCTAAGAGCTGTTGGAGAGTGGCATAGGCTGCCTTGGAGAGTGGTGGCTCTCCTTCTCTGGAGGCTTTTCTATCGGGAGTGCTTTGATTGTGCCTTCTTGCATGGCAGGGAGTTGAACTGGTTGGCCCTGGGGGTCTCTTCTAGCTCTAGGATTCTAGGATTATATACCAAGAGTAGGCAATATGGGGTCTAATGGGTACACTTTTCTTTCTCATTCACCATTTCATCCTGACTAAGGCTAAGCCTTTTGGGATCTAAATATTTCCTGTCTATCCTTCACTTTTCACCTCCAAAAGAGGAGAGGAAGGGGAGGAAAGGGTAGCGAGGAGACTTGGGGACAACCTCCTTCCTCCCAGCCCACCCATGCTGCTCCAGCCCACCATGTAGCCCCCAAGTTAGAAAGTTTATCTATGGCTGACTTAGGGTCTCTGTAAATTGGAATTGATGTAAAGACGCTCAACAACAACAAAAACAACAACAACATGTGTCCTGCAGAAAGCTAAATCTGAAGAACCTTTTCCAGAGTGCAATCAGATGTCTCTACTGGGTAGTCCAGTAATGGGGTACTTATGACCCTTTGGATGTTGTTGGATTACAACCTTTATCACCCCTCATCATTGACCAAGACTGATGGAGTATCAGAAGGCCCACCAGTTGCCTATTCTGAAGATAGCTTACATTTGCTTAGCTATCATGACTTTATCATGGTGTCATAGGAAAACCAGCACTGAAATTGGAGCTTCACTAGCCACCAAAGAAACCCAAAAAAAAACCCAATATAATAACTCTATCTCTTTAATTGCACTGAACATAAGAGATTAACTTGAGAATAAATTCATCTGAGTAAAACGGAACTTCAATTCCTGGTATATGTCCTGGTGCAGAAAGGCCAAAAGAGAGTAATACATAACCCAGAAGACGCCTGAATTATTTTTCTGCTATTGCAACTGCTCATCCAAACTTCTGCTTAGCTAGGAATGCAGGTGTATTTTCTATCCAAAGTCTTCTTCACATGATATTTCACCTAGCAACTCACAAATAATTCATATAGAGAGATATAATAATAACAATAATAATAATAATAATAAGCAGAGGCATAACACCGTTGCTCAGATGAGTAATTGGAACTTGTGCCACAAATACCATCTGACTGCAACAAAGAACTGGTGGGATCACAAGCCGGAAAAAGTTACAGAAAATAAACAAGTCAAACTATTCTGGGACTTCTGGATTCAGACAGAATTTTGGAGCATAATACTCCTGATCTCACAATCGTGTTAAAAAACAAAGTATGGATTGTTGATGTTGCAATCCCAGGTGACAGCAGGATTAAAAAGAAACAACTGGAAAAGATAACACGATATGAGGATTTAAAGATCAAACTGCAAAGACTCTGGTACAAACCAGTGAAGGTGGTCCCAGTGGTGATCGGCACACTGGGTGTAGTGCCTAAAGACCTTGCCCTGCGCTTTACACAATCAGTGCTGACAAGATTACCATCTGCCAGCTACAAAAGGCCACCTTACTGGGATCTGCATGCATTATTTGCCGATACATCACACAGTCCTAGACACTTGCGAAGTGTTCGACATGTGATCCAATACAACAGCCAGCAGCATGTCTGCTATGGACTCATCTTGTGTTTCAAATAATAATAATAACTTTATTTATATTCTGCTCTATCTCCCTGAAGGGACTCAGGGCAGATTCCAAACATAAAAGACAAACATTCAACGCCCGAATACAACAATGCATCCATAATAACAAAATTTAAACAACCCAACATATAAACATGAATTATAAATAAATAAAAAACACAGACTGTTATAAAAGACATAAGACAAAACATCAAACATCGGATGGAAACAATAATTTCCCATTTCATTGGGGAAATCAGGGCTTAGAAGAGTACCATTTTCCCGCTATATGACCCCAAATTTCTTGGGCTGGAGAATCTTGAAATTATAGTCTTAAAAAGCCAGTTGCCCCAGTCCTGGTTGAACCCTGTGGGTGTAAATGCCCACAAAACCCAAAAGAATAGTGGGCATGGCTTTTCTGCTACTAAATTATATTGTCCAAGTACAATGTTAATTCCTGCTAGATAAAACACATTGTTTTGTGAGAGTGTTCTTCAAATCAGTTGCTTGTTCATTTGGCTGATAAAAGAAATGATTGCTTAACCAACATGTCTCTCTCTCTCTTGCTCCTCTCTTACCATCTCAGCCTTTGGAAATTTTCCAGAGAAAACATCTCCAGACGCTAATGAAGCTTAAAACCACCATGGCAGATCAGATGTCAAAATCAAATTAATTCCCTTGCAAGATTACATTTCTTTATCTTGGCCCCAGAAAAGAACACAAACAGGTTTCAGAAATAATTGGAAAGCATGTAATATATAAATATGCTTTATTATAAGAATCTCTTACTTTCCATGGCTTAACATTAACTGGTTGGAGATTTTCTCACCCAGCTCCATCTTAAATAAACTGGAACCTTGATTATTGACTGTAGATGTCAACAAGATAGATCTGCCAATTCTAGAGTAGAAACAAATATTTATTTGCCTTCTATCCCTGCCTCAATAAAATCTCTTTTATTTGGTGGTAGACATTAAAGGGCATTTCTGTATCCTTGCTTGGCAACTACTGTTTATTATATATTTTTATCACATTAGGAGCGAACCAAGAGTACAGTTGTATTTTAAAAAACACAAAGTTTTAAAACTTGACAATTATATTAAATGTCCTTCGACCAGTAGCTAGCCAATTGGAGTGCCTCTGGTGTTGCTATAAGGAGGTCCTCCATTGTACATGTGGCAGGACGCAGACTGCATTGTAGTAGGTGGTTCGTGGTTTGCTCTTCTCCACACTCGTATGTCGTGGACTCCACTTTGTGGCCCCATTTCATCTCGTGGTGCCAGAGCACAATCTGTTCAGCATGTTCCAAGTCGACCAGTTTTTTGTGTGTCCAGAAGGGAGTCTCTCATTTTGTATCAGCCATTGATTGAGATTCTGTGTTTTATTCTGCCACTTTTGGACTCTCGCTTGCTGAGGTGTTCCATCAAGTGTCTCTGTAGATATTAGAAAACTATTTCTTGATTTAAATCATTGGCGTGCTAGCTAATATCCAAACAGGGGATAGGTTGGAGATGTCACTGCCTTGGTCCTTTCACTATTGGTTGCTACTTCCCGGCGGATGTCAGGTGGTGCAATAGCATCTAAACAGTGTAATTTCTCCAGTAGTATAGAGAGCAGACACCCCGTGATAATGCGATATGTATCATTAAGAGCCACATCCACTGTTTTAGCGTGATGAGATGTGTTCCACACTGGGCATACATATTCAACAGCAGAGTAGCAAAGTGCAAGGGCAGATGTACAATATCGGCTAAACAGAGTAATTTCTCCACTGGGACATGAGAGAAACCTCACCGCAGGATTGCAACACATCCAGGCATCCCCTGGGCAACGTCTTTGTAGACAGCTGATTCTCTCACAACAGAAGCGAACAGAAATGAACAGTATGTTAAGTAAGGGCCATAGGAATAAAAACTGACAGTCCATCAGCACAGCCTCAGTCCCTTGGGTTCAAGCAAATGGCATTTTCTCAGGGAGCTCTGAAGCAGTTATTGGCAAAAGTCTCCTTATATGAACCTTAGGTATTTATTACAATTTTTTCATTTGAAAGTCTTATATGTAAAACCGGTCCTGTCATTGAGGGGAAGGAAGCAACCATCTCAGGCTCCAGATGTCAAGTGTCAT